TTCTAACTCCAGCAAAATGATGCTAATAACAAAACTATGATTGAATATCTAAATAAGTCATGACATTTGTTAGGTGTTCTATCAATTGGATTCATTCAATAACTAAATGAGATAAGGGTTATTATTATGATAATTTTGCACAGGAAGAACCTGAGTTTAAAATATGAAATATAACACATATTAGCCTGGGTGGTCTTCTTCCTGAATAAGTGCTGTTTCTACTATACTATGTATCCTGAATGCCTCTTCCACCAAGAAGTTTGTATCCACTTATGATCTCCTTTAAATTTCATGCTTAAAATGGAAACATGTTCATGTCCTACTAATTATTTTGTATTTCACTCCAGCTACAGTGTATCCTACATCTCAATTTGATTCTTGTGGAGTTGTGTATCTCTGTTTCATAGCATTTATTTCTTTTTTAATAATTTTTAATTGAGATCAATTACATAAATTTCACAAATTCCACAGTATTGGGGGATAGTGACACTTAGGTAAAAGCATACATTTATGGCTGATTTTAGAAATTCATGGCATTTACTCAGATTAAAAGTGTTATAGCCAGGTACCAATGGCTCACACCTGAAGTCCTAACTACTCATGAAGCCGAGATTAGAGTATGATTCAAAACCAGCCCTAGCAGGAAAGTCTGTAAGACTCCTATCGCCAATAAACCACTCAAAAACAAACAAACAAACAAACAAAAGACCCCACAGAAGTGGCACTGTGGTTCAAGAGGTAGAGTGCTAGCCCCATGCAAAAGAAGCTCAAGGACAGGGACCAGGCCCTGAGTTCATGTACCAGGACTGGCACAAAGACCAAAACCAAGAATTGAGGGTTATAGATCCTCAATGAGACCCTGATCATTCATGGTGTTTTCAAGGGTGGGTGCTGAGCTATGCTTTGATGGCCGCTTTGCAGGCTTGGGATGGACGCCAGAGCTCTGCACACATGGGACAAGGGCAGCTAAGGGCTGCATTTCCAGCCTACAGCTAACTTACAATTCCTACTGTTCTCCCAGGGAGGAAGCCAGATGGTTCAAAGAACTAGCGCTGCCTCCTGACAGTGGAGAGCACTCCCAAACACCAACGGTGTCTTAGCTAAAACAAATCCAATACATTACATACCATTTATTTCTTAAGCATTGTTTACTTTTAACATCAGAACCATGATTGAATCATTCTAAATAGAGTCCTGAAAACCTTTCAAAATTTGTCTTCTTTTGGGTGATTAGTTCAGTTCTGAAAATCTATTGGATCCAGTAAGTTCTGTAAGTACAAATTATACTTGTAACTGTTGAGTGAATTATTATTACTGCAATGTAATAGTAAGAGCCTTCTGAGTAGCTAGGATTCACAGGTGTGAGCCACTGGCGCCCAGTCAAAGGAAATAATTCTTGATAAAACTTCTGAATTTCTAATGAAAATGTGACTTGCTGGGTGCTGGTGGCTCACGCCTGTAATCCTAGCTACTTAGGAGGCTGAGATCTGAGGATGGCGGTTCAAAGCCAGCCCGGGCAGGAGAGACCATGAGACTCCTATCTCCAATAAACCACCAGAAAACCGGAAATGGCGCTGTAGCTCAAGTGGTAGAGCGCTCGCCTTGAGCTGAAATGCTGAGGGACAGCGCCCAGGCCCAGAGTTCAAGTCCCATGACCGGCCAAAAAAAAAAAAAGAAAAGAAAATGTGACTTAAGAGATATAATTGTTATGACTGTCAGCATACCAAATATAAATAAGTGCTGTTGCTACTGTAGGTCATGCCATTTGTTAGGTATTCTAGCAACTTAAAAGGGACATTATAAAGAACTAGCAGAGATGTAGAGCAGTGGTAGAGTACTTGCCCAGCACATGTCAGACCCTGGGTTCATTCACAAGTAGTGTAACTCAACAATAAAACAAAGAAAAAGAGTTTTCCTATCTTATTCGAATTATATATCAGACTAGATGGAAACAAAACAATCGAATGAATCCTTAAAAACTCAAATACTAAATATAATTAATGACTAATAATAACTGGAATCAGAAAAGCCAGTGTCCAGAATGAATTCATGTAATACTAAATTCATCACTTTGAAGAGAGTATGACTTAAGTTGAAATGCGTCTTCTAAACTGTTTTCTAGCTTCTAATGAAAAGAGATGGTTAATTCTGTAAATCAAATTGTCTGGGCCATGATGCTGTTCTGGAGGTTTGTCTAAGCATATTTGTTAGATAATTATGACCTCTAAAGAGCAAGAAAATCCATTGAGGCACAGTTAAAGATAATAAGCAAATTTATTTACACCAGAAAGGTTGCCTGCAACTACCTTGTCCTAAGCTAGACACCCAGAACCAAGGGCAGCCTCGACCACCAAACCTCCAAGCCTCCAACAGGCAGCCTCCAACCTTTATTAGTTGGTCTGCAAACCACCAATTAGTCAGTCTACAAACCCCCAAACCTCAGACCTCCAAAGCTCCAAAGCACCAAAGGGGAAGGCTTTTCCCTTCCTCCTTCTCTGCAGGCCTCTCCATTCTCCACAGGCCTGCCCTGCTCTGCTCTGGGATGTGCCTCTGCACAGGCCTCTCTAGAGGAAGGTCCCAAATGGCCCCTCAAGGAGGCCCCAAATGACCTCTGCAGGAGGTACAAATGCCCTTCTGGGGAGATCCCAAATGATCTCCGGAGAAGACCCCAAATGACCTCTTGGAGGAGGTCCCTAATGGCCTTTCAAGGAGGCTTGTCCTGCTCTCCACAGGTCTGTCCTACTCTGCTCTGGCAGGCTTTCCCCTTCTGCTGTCCCTCTCTCTTCTCGGTCTCTCTCTACTCCCCTATTTCAATGGGACTACTCTCCACCCTGCTCCCCTGCTCTCTACCCTACTCGCAGGCCTCAGAACTGCACCCCTCCCCACTGCAACAGCATTAATGGATTCATCTGCCTAACGGTTTCCAACTGCCATTCATGCTCCTTCCCCAAGCTGCCCATTGTCCAACCACTTCAGCTATCCATGTGGGGCTCAACGCCCCATCCCCTCCAGTAGCACACTCTACCCCTTTAGGCAGCACGCCCATGGGGAGGTAGCCTTAGCCTCTCCATACCCCGCCCCCTCCGGTGGCCTGGTCCTTGGAGTGGTGAGGCTTACCTCTACATACCTGCCCCCTCTAGCGGGCTGGGCCACAGGGCCACGCTGATTATCAGGGCCCCGCTAGTTATTGCATCGATTAGTATTTAAATTATCACGCTTTGAATAGATTGCCCTCCATAATATGAGTCACTCACATATTATCTCAGGTTTTAACTAGAACAAACAGGGAGCAATGCAATTCTGTGAGCTCAAACTACAATCCTTCCTTGGATCTACAGCCTGCTGGACAGAGACTTTGCAACCAACCATATTCTCTCCCTCTCCTATTTCCTCTCCCTATTTTCTCTCCTCCTCCTCCTCAACACACACACACACACACACACACACACACACACACACAAATAGGAATAATAGGTAAATGCCAACAATTTGTACCTTCTTATAATTTAAAAATGACACATATATATGCACATATATACATACATATATATGCATATATATCTATCTATCTATCTATCTATATATATATATATATATATATATGAGATAGGAAGGTGGCTCAGTGGTAGAGTGGTTTCCTTTCATGCATGAGGCCCTAGTTTGGATTCCGCAGCACCACATAAGCAGAAAAAGCCGGAGATGGTGCTGTAGCTTAAGAGGTAGAGCACTAGCCTTGAACCTAAGAGCTGAGGGACAGTGCCTAGGCCCAGAGTTCAGGAACCACAACAGACCAAAAAAAAAAAAGACATCTATTATATGTCATTATATTAAAAATGACAAATATGTAGATAAATTGGTAGTAGAGTCCATGAGGCAGGATTTTGAGTTGAAGAGATGAAAAAAGGCTTATCTTCGTTGAAAAAAGAAAAGATTTTACTGGAGAAGTTTAACAAAGGTTTGATTGCCAAGTTGAGAAAAAGGAGAACAAAAGCCACAAAAGAAGAATCCTCAACACAAAAATGGAATAATGACAGAGTAAATATCACAGCCACTGGAGTCAATGTTTAACAGTGATTACCATTTTCCTAAATCTTTGAAATGGTCACAATATCGGACATTAGTAAAATTTTAATAAATGGCCAGTATTATTTCTATAGGACACAGAAATAACAGTAAACAACTGAGAGAGAAAGAACCCATGAGGATAAATCCCAACTCCTGGTAGAACCAATACAATCTCTTGCCCTTCAATTCCAGGCGATACGGTTGTTCAAAAGTCCGTGTTCAGCACACCGCCAGTCTTGCGGCATTTCATTTAATCACTAGTGAAAAGAACTGGGAATTTCAGATTTTGAGTGGATGCTTGAGATGAGGATTCAGGGAAATAATAAAGTAGAACACACACACACACACACACACGCACACACACACACACACACGCACACACACACACACAGCAAGAGAGATGAAGACAGCTGAAAGGAACAGAGGAAGGAAGAGGCAGAAGCTGTGAGAGACCGGAGGAGGAACCATATGGGGTGGATATGGGGTGGTCACAATGTCTCTAGAACAAGAAAGCAAGCCTCTGTCCGAAAATGGATGTCTTAGATCCTTCCCGGATCTCTGTTCTCAGATTTTAGCCCGTTCTCACCAGTAAAGCTTATGTGCATTGGAATTGGGATTGTTTGATGGAAGATAGTTTCAGAAAGCAAACAAGTTTGGACTGTGAATCTCTTCGATTATACCTCTAGGGCTAATATTCCCCAGTCAGCCCAGAGGGAATCAGGTCCCCAAGTTCCAAAGGCCCTGGATGGAGAACACGACCCCGCCCCCTGGCCCCATGGCCTCCAACGTTTCCGGTAGGAACGCGGCGGTGAGGCCTCGGGGACAGTGGGTCCACTGGCCAGTACTGGTCCGGTCGGGACAGAGAAAGGACGGGGAAGGGAGTCTAGGGAAGGGTCAGGGCAGATTGGCGGTGAGGCTCAGGACACAAGCCAGCCATGGAACTGTACCTCAGCTCCTGCTCCAAGGCTGCCAATGTCGCCGCCAACAAAACAGCCACCAGCAACGTGGCCACGGACAGTCAGCAGTGTGGAGACGTGAGTGGTCATAGCCTGGCGTCGATGTTCTCGGTGGGGCCTGGTGGAGATCCCCACGCAGTGGGTCGCGTGGTTCTAACCGTCCAGTTAGGGAGTGGGTGGATCTAGGGGTGTCCTGTAGAGCGGGCCCTTCAAAACTCTGAATGATTCTTGGGTTTCTTTGGTTGGAGAGGGTGGAGAACGGGAGGAGATTAGCCTAAACTAAATGAACATTACCTAAAAGACAAAAATCACCAATTATATCTGACAGGGAGCCCACAAAACCCAGTTTCCCGGGGTGGGAGCAGCTCAGCTACTGGATCTGCCCCTTGGGGTCAAGCTACCTGTGATCCCAGGAAGTGATTCAATATATTTTACTACGAATATAAGTGAAAAGGTAAAAATATGTTTTAAAATTGTTTAACAGTAGTTTTCGTTACCCTTTTCTACTTGCTCTAAATTCAGAGACGTTAGTACCTAAAGGACATTACAGGAATCCAACATTCACAACAACAACAAAGTAATGAAAATAATAACAATAACAACCAAACCAGGTCATACTGAAGATATTATTTAGAATGCAGATTAAGCAACTTCACTAGGGTTTAGACTAAATCTTGAGCCAGAAAATTTAGGTTCTCAAAGAGAAGTTTATATGAAAGCATGTAGACTTTTTAAATTAATAAAACTTCATGTCTATGTAGTGATTTTTAATTTACATAGAAATAAGATTGATTGAAAGGTGAAAAATTGTCAATGTTGGCTGGCCTTTCATTAGTCTTTGCATTTTAACCAACAGTAACAGGGACTAAATTCTCTATAAAACATTTTTCTGTGGTTTATGTGGTATGTCTTTTTTCACACAAAGTGAGGAAAGGTCAATTTGCCATTTTTCTGGCAACTCACTTTATTAGATGAAAACTCCAACCTCTGTTTCTAGAAGACCTCAGCATTAGCCCAGTCTTTGTTCCTAAAAGAGACTCATCTTCTTCAGATTCCTATCTTCAATACCCCCCTCTCCTCACCATTAAAATACTTAATGTGTTTTTATGTACTTTATCCTCAAACCTGGAGAACCCCTTCTTCTCCCAGTGACTGAATCATGCATCAAGGGTCTTTGTAAACTATCACTGATCCCAATTACCCTCTCTTTGCTCAGAGGTCACATATTCTTGCTTTGAATGTTCTTCCCTAACAAATACATTGCAGATTACCATGCTTTTTCCCTTAAACCCTTTCATCTTAAAAAAATAGTTTTCAACATTGATCTCTAACTCTACTCTTTCACTGTCTATAATGTCATTGGAAATAAGTAGGGTTCCTTGATATGTGACACTGGTCAGGTATCTTAGTCACTTGGGGCTCCTATAACAAAGCAATGTAGACTACATATCATAAAGCTAAGAAATTTACATATCACAGTTCTGGAAGCCAGAGGTTTGATATCAAAATACAACAAGGTTGGCTCTGATTATGATTCTCTTGTGGCAGAAAGAGAACTAGTGAGCTCTCTGTGGTGTTTTTACAAGGTCATTTGTCTCATTTGTAAAGCATGACCTTCAAGACTTAATTACCCTCCCCCCAAAGCTTCAGCATCTGATGTCATTGGGAATTAAGAAAGTAATACATAGTGAAAGTGGAATGAGGACTATTCAGTCTATAACACTTGGAAAAAAATTTCACATTAATAAAAAAACCCAGGCTATTCTACATGCTAATTAAAAATATGTCAAATGCTTTCTTTTTAATCTCTCTCTATTCCTCCCTCCCTCTATTTTCCCTCTTAATAATTATTAAGTTACAGTTAGATAGGATTTTTTTAAAGTTCTGGTGCTTCATTGCACTGTAGAGTGAATATAATAATGAAACTTGAATGTTACCACTGTAATGAATGGTACTTATTGAGAAAATACAAGTCTACTTTGATTTGAACATTGCATAATTTATATACATATTTAAATTTCATATATTCTAGAAACATGTATAAATAATAGCTCTAAGAAGCAATTACTTTAAATCATAGTAATTTTTTCTATTCTTTTTCCAATGATTGAAATATCATGGTATTATTCCTTTATCTGTTGAATATGGTGCTTTGATCTGATAGAAGGCAAAGGCGATAGGAGAATACTAGAATTGGCTTTATTGCTTAAATTATTTATCAGTCCCCTTTTTCTTTTTCAGTTTAAAAATAAACTGACCTCACAAAATTTGAGTCACATGTATACAAACTAAGTTTGCCAAAATGTGCATGACATACTACTGATATAGTGACACAAATCTATTTATTGTAAGCTGTATTTTTGGCAGTTTCTTGAACTATGCTCACAGTATTGCCCTTTTTGTTTCTGTAAAAATCAATTTTTCTATTACTTTTCAAATAATGGTCTATTATATACTTCCAAAATACATTTAACTATAATTACTTACTAGTCCTAAAGCCTGTCTTAGTGAGAAAACTTTTTCTGTAAAAATCGATTTGTCTGTTAATGTTCAAATAATGGTATATTATTACATACTTCCAAAATATATTTAACTATAATCAGTCAACAGACTTAAGGCTGACTTTGTGGGATTATTTTTTCTCTCAGTCTGATATCAAATCAATCAGTATTTCTAATCATTTATATATTTTAAGAAAAACCAGTGATATAAATTGCTAATGGAAGGGTTATCCTGAATTTGTTCAACATACTTACTCTTCACAAATGAGTTGATCAGGCTTCAACTTAAGAAACATACCTATAGTAGATAAAAGTAAACATAAAAACAAAAGTTGACAAAATGTCACCATCCAAGTGAAACAGAATCAATCCCTTCCTTGACTTACTATTATTGATTCTCTCCTTTCAGGAATATAAGTGGACATCTAATCTTGTCACACTGAGTTCAAGATTTTATGCTATAGATTTCCTTCACTTGTTTCCTCAGAGAAGTATTTATTAATCAGTTTTCTGATGAGTCGAATTGGAAAGGATTGGTGTTCAGTGTTGAGGTCAGAAACAACAAAGAAACTTGTGCTCAAAGCTAGTGCTCTACCACTTGAACCATAGCTCCATCTCCACTTCTGGCATTTGGATTTTCAATTGGAGAAAAGAGTCTCATGGACTTGCCCTGGCTAGCTTCAAACTGCCATCCTCAGATCTCACCCTTCTGACTAGCTAGGATCACAGGCATGAGCCGCTGGAACAGTTTTAAATATAAAGTGTAACTACACTATCATGTACCTCCTGTCTATTTGCTTTGCCACTAAACAAAGCAATCTACCTATGTTTGTAGGGTTCCATATAATCAGTCTCTTGAGTATCCATGCATTAGACTCTAGTTATATCCAAAGACAAATTGAACACAGAAATCATAAGCTTATGACTGTAGGGATGTTGGAATTGATACAAGTGTTTCATGGAAGGGAAAATTCTATGTATTTTCCACCTCCAAAAAAGATACCTATTTATTCTTCCCCTGGTTCTTGATTTGTCATTGCTATGTGCTAAAACTTGTGTTGCTTTTGCAAAGCAAACTCAAAACAGAAGAAATGCAATATTAACACTAGAATAACTTATATCCCTGCCTCCATCTTCCACTTCTCCTTTAACAGGTACTCACATGCTACTTTTGAACAATTAACCAAGAACTTGTTTTGTAATGTTTTAACTCCTCAATGAGTTGAAAATTCCTATAAAGGAAAAAATAAAGAACCATTAACACAATTGTCTCTTCCTTCCTCTCTTGGTTAATCGTTATATGAGGTGATGTTTGGTCTTTATTCATTGAGGAAGGGCTCATTTCTTGTGAGTATGCTCTAAAGCTCGTTATTCATGTTCTGAAACTATATGATGCAAACATTGGCTTTTCTTCTGATTGACATTAAATTTGTTTCATTAACTCAAGACTCAACCCCAAATTTTTAACATTTATTGGCATCAACTTTTACCCATATTGAAAGATTGCTGTTTTCCAATGAAGTATAACAATTACAATTAAAACTTTATCTTATAAATATGCTAACATATAAAATATAAATACATTATATAAATATATTATATATATGATAATATACATAGTGTTGTATATATCTATGAATATATCTCTTTATATATATGTATACACGTACACATTATCTTTTAAATATAGTGTACTGACTTGGAAGAGTGAGGGCTTCAAAGGGACAATCCTTCCTTTGGCTTTATTCCTTTGAAATTAGATACCATTCCCTCTCTTTCCCTTCAACTAAGGGTCAGAGGCTGAAGCAGTTGAGGTGAAGAGCTAACAGTGAGGCAGCCATTCATTGTAAGCTAAGAAAAGAAGAAAGGCAATTCTCTTGTCCAAAGTTCTGTTGGTGGTTTATCACCCACTTCAGTTTCCACCTGCAATGGTTTGTTTTGTACTCATTCCAATAGGTTATTTAAAAGTGAAATGTCATTTATTTTACTTTTGTAATACTATAAAAATCTGTGTTTGCAGCTTTTTCGACCTTCCTATGATTTTAACCTGACTGATCCTTACTGTCGACTTTTGGAAACCCAGTACAAAAGTCTCCATGATCCACATTTAAGGGAATATTATAAACGCAAAGATATCCTCAGGAGATTAAAGAAAGGTGGCTACATCACCAGCAATAATAAAGTAGGTTGAAAATTACAGTTATGTTATTTTTTAATCATTTATTACTTTCAATGTTTGGTGTTTGCTTCTACCTCAATATCACCTTTAAACATTTAGCTTGGTCATGAGATGATACTTAGAGCCCTTCTACCAAATATTCAGGAATCAGAAAACAAGTGGAGCTATTTTTTTTTGCCTTTATGTTCATTGTAAATATCAAAGGTTATGGGTAATTTGAGGGACAAAAGCTATACAAATTTTCCCAGCTGAATCACAGTACTGTGCCTAATTGCCCTCTACAATTTTATCCTATACACTTTATAGAACCGAGACAAAATAGAAAGTAAGAAAATTTAACTTTTTTAAATCCTGCAAAAATATTATTTGGGACTAGAGAATACTACAACAACAATCTGATTATAATTATTTGAAATTGTTATTTTAATATCTAATTGTGAATTCTAAATTTCTTACAATGTAAGTCACAATAATCAAGTCAGATTTTGGAGAGGAATTTTCTATGGAATAACAAATGTAAAAAGATACCACCTATGATACCATAGTAAATTGTTACTCTTGATAACAAAAGTATCATAAAGTTGTACGTCATTGTTATTTTTTCTCTGGAGAGTTATTGTTAATTTCTTAATATTTTCATATTTATAATATTTATAAACTTATATTTTTGCTTTTAGATTGTATGTACCTTGAAAGAATTGAATAAGTACAGACAATATCTTACCAGCTTGAAATTAGATTTTGAAAGAAACTATTTAAGAGAACAAGTAAGTTAACACACTTAAACTTTGTGTAAGTAAAGGTTAAATAAAGGCTTATTGATATATGGAATCTTATTCTTATACTTCACCTTATAATGATAAAGCAATTAAATACTTTTCAAAGTGAAAACTAAGAACAGGATTAAATATTTGAGTGGTGCTATATTTGATCAAGGAGAAAGGAATATGAGGTCAGATATCAATCCCTGTATAGGTAGCTGAATTAATTTATTCAGTAATTAGTTCATTGATGACATTGCTATTAAGAATCTGATGCCAGTAAGAATTGTCTATTGCCATAGCAATATTCTGAAGCTGTAAATCTAATCAGTTTCAAAAGAGGAGATGTTCACTTCCATAATATCAATAATGCCTTTCAGGAAACAGAAATAACAGGTGCCCTGAGTGTTTGAATCCACACATCAATCACACACATTGATGGTAAATTAGGTGCAATGTTTGGAATTACGACAATAAGTAGTGACTTCTTTTTCACTCAAAAGTTTTATATAAGATGAATGTGAGAGTATAAATTCAAGTTTAAGTATATTTTCACAATTTTATGTTCTAAAGTTAAGATAAAAGCAGTACTGCTGTTCTCTGTGCCTAGACTTTTTATATTACAGAGTCCAGTATCATAGGTTTATCATAGGTAAACAAATACAATGTTTGTCATATTCAGAGTGATGACATGTTTATTTGGATCATTTGTACATACCTTTAAAGGATTCAAAATAGACTTGCTTGCAGTTAATCATTTATAAAATAAAGGAATTTCAATAACTTTCATTTCTCGAAAATGTAAATAATTCATTTTTTTCCAAACAGGAAATGATTGCAAAACAACTCCATAAGCTGCAGCAACGCAATGAAACAGATGTTGCACGGTTTCAGAACTGGTTGTTACAGGAGAGCCCCCAGTCTGTTAAGGACCAGGAGCGGTTATTAAGGCACAGGTAAGGTGGAAAGCACCTATTTTGCAAATCTATTGTGTATTCAAATAAATCTGAAAATTCTGGAAAGCATTCAAAGCAGGGTTTGCTTGTTTTGTTTTTCATGTGGTAGATATTACTCAATTCTTCTGTACTCTTAAGTGGGAAGGACAGAAAGAAGACCAAGTACAAGATTCAGATGCTGGGACTATGAAGGGAAATTTCTGAAGTCAGTCTTTCTAACAACACAAGACATAAGCCACACAGAAAACTGAGGGAAATCCAGATCTAAAATCCAGAGAAATATTGACATCAAATGCCACCAAGAATAACACATTTTTACAACCTGTCATTAAGGACTAACTATATTAAGTTTGTGGAAGTTTAGGGCAAGTTCAGAAGCAGGACATTTTAAAACTTTGATGCAAATATAGAATGTGTATCATCTCCAAAAAAAAAGGTAGATTCATTCTGATATTAACTAAATATACTCAGTCTTAACATTGCATTCTCAAGGTCATTTCTTAGGGTATAAAGGGATGATACTTTCCTTTTCCTTCATTGGGGTAAGATATTAGTTTGCATTGTCTCATTTTTACATTTTATGGCTTCATTTCATTGTAATGCCATTTAAAATCTAATATGTAACCAGGCGCTGGTGGCTCATGCCTGTAGTCCTAGCTACTCAGGAGGCTGAGATCTGAGGATCGTGATTCAAAGCCAACTAGGACCAGAAAGTCCACAAGACTCTTATCTCTAATTAAACACCAGAAAACTGGAAGTGGTGCTATGGCTCAAGTGGTAGAGCGCTTGCCTTGAGCTGAAGAGCTCACAGACAGTGCCCAGGCCTAGAGTTCAAGCCCCATGACTGACAAAAACAAACAAATCTGGTATGTAAATGATTAAAGACAATATAAGACCTGTAAATAAGCAAGAAATAAGTCCCCACTTTGTTTTTAAGAAATGTGAATCTGTATTTTTTGTCTATGGAATAATTTCTTCATTGATCTGAGCTTTCCTTGCAAATTTAGTATCCTAAACCCATTTTTAGGAATATTTGCTTATTGGGCAAATATTTTTAATTAGATTGCTTTACATTTCCCCATTGCCCTGGCCATCCTAATAGTTGGGACTGTAGTAAGATTTTAACATGAGCAAAACATTATGAGTCAGTATGGCTTGAAGGTCCACGAAAAGTCCTAGGAAATAAAATAAAGTAAAATTCTTTCAGTTCAGAAAATGAAAATAAATAAGAACATGGTTTGGACCATTAAGTAAGTGGGAAGAATTCACCTCCAATAATATGTGTACCTTTGTTCTCCAGGTACTTAGACATGATAAGTAAGGAATTAGAGCAAGTGGAGCGCACAGCAGAGGAGCAACGCCTGCTCCGAATGGATAGAGAAGAGAGACGACAACGAGAATACACAAGAAAAAAACTGAATCTTCGTAGAAAAATTGAGGAGGTGATGTATAACATTTAAAATAGTGACACAAATTACCTACCATTTTTTGATTTGTAAGCAATTATTATCTTTAGTCCATATTGATTGAAGTCTATTCAACTCTAAGTAATTTTAAACCCACACAAGTTAACTTCATGGCTAGACCATAAAGGTTTGTACATAAAAGAGTAGGGCAGACAACATATTTTCTCCTCTTAAAGACCACTGTGAGGTGAGTGGAATTTGGGATCAATGGAGGGATAAATGAAAAGATGACAGTGGTCAAGACGCACACCATACTAGTAACCTAACCTGTTGAGATGAAACTATTGTGTACAACTACTTAAAGATTAAAATAAAAACCAGAGAGGAAGTTACTGAACCTTATCTTACTAACAATCCTGTAGAGGATTTTTTAAAGTTTAATTTTAGTAACATAATGATAGTAATAATTATCAGACTCACTTTCCCAATGTCACAACCAAAAGACTTCTAAAATCTCTCCATGGCTTTCACTATGCTTGACCATTTTTCTGTTAGGCCATTGGCTCCTATCATTTTCTTAGCAGTGAGACCAAACAGGAAGGTGGTACTTGGATGGGAACACATAGAACACATGGTAACATTGTATCTTCCAGGAGTGGAAGACAAAGGAGATGTTGCTCCTGACAAAGATTGGAGAAGACGTTAAAAGAGAGCAGAGAGTAGAAGAACAACGGCGAAAGAGCAGAGAAGAGAGTGACAAAAAGGTAGGACATAGGACAGTTTCACATTTACCTTGAACTTGCTGAAGAGCTTTTGTTCAAGTTTTTTTTTAAGGTAAAAATCATTTTGGGATGGAACTATAGACCATAAATATGCCCTAACTGACATGCATTATACAGAGCTGAAAGTTATAAACTGGTTTTTTATTTGTTGAGTCCTTTTGTTTTCTATTGTTGTTATTTCTTTGATACTGGGTCTTGCTATTTTCCAAGGTTGTCCTTGAACTTCTCTGGGCACAAGTGATCTACTCCCTCAGCCTCCTAAGTAGCTGAGATTACAAGTCCCAGAGCCAGCTGCCAGCCACTGCCACCCCATTGAGCTCTGGATAATTTTACTCTATTTTTAACAACTAAGGTTTTATTTATTTTTTAACTTAAATTTTATTGTAAAGGTGATGTACAGAGGAGTTACAGTTACATAAGTCAGATAATGGGTGCATTTCTCTTTGAACAGTGGTACCCACTCCCTCTTTTTCTCCCACTTTTTCTCCTCCCAACTTCCCTTCCTTCTAACTTGTAAAGTTTCCTAAATAGTGTCTAGTAAGCATCACTGTTGAATTGGTTCACCCTTTGGCCCACTACTTCTGTGATTCCCCTTCTCTTTCCCAAATCAGATAAACTTACATGAAAGACAAATGTAAGAAGTACCATCCTTGGTGCAAATACTTTGGACTCCATTTTCATACTATATACCACAGCTGTAATTCCTTTAAAACTTGTCATGCTTTATTTTCTTAGAACCCGAAATTCTTGAAAAATTTTCTTAGCTTTTACCCACCAATAATATTTACATGTGTCTAGTACCATGTACTATTGTGTGATTTTGAGTGTGAATCAGAAAGTAGAAAATGAGAAAACCTGTGTGTGTTCTCACTGCCTCATTGTCTCCACTGTCCACACAGCCACACATGTCCATGCAGCATGATTTTATCCATGTTTTCTTTAAATAGGGAAACACCTCATATATTCTTGTAAAGTACCTGTTGACTAAAAAGCCTGTATTTACAACACTGAATGACAATAAGCATGGATCTAACACTATTAATAACAATTTTATAGATAGTTTTGCTATGGACAAACAGGAGTAATGTAAGAGTTACATAGTTGGTATTGCAATATACCAATATAGAGCAATTTTGTACAAGTATTAAAACTGAAGTTCATGAAGTACATGTATTTGTCTTCCACTCAATTTGGTACATTATACTTTTTAGTTCTTTTGGAGACTCATTGCTCATGTAGCAGGCTCAAATTATTCCAAATTTAGAGGCATTAGTATTTTATGGTGCTTTCATTTTCAATGTTATTTTAAGTAGAACTGGGTTAAACTCAGGAGGTTATGTATGCTATTAGGCAGTCTTCCACTTGACCCATACTTCCACCTCTTTTTCCTTCTGCTATTTTTCAAATAAGGTCTTTGATCCTTTCCATCTCCACCTCTCAAGTAGTTAGAATTATAGAAGTGAGCCAGACTTTTCACTGCAGTTTTATCTAGAAGATCTCACAAAGTTGGCTTCCTTTTTATTTCCAGAAAACTCTTTAAGAGTATCTTTTTTTTCTGTGTCTAATACAGTGCTCCAGATTCCTCTTCATTTTTCACTCTATGTCAATTTCTTTTCAAAGAGCCTTGGTTAATTTTGGTTTTGACTTGGATAAAGGATGAACATACAACCAGGAAAGAACCAGCCATTAGACAGGTCCTCTGACCATAGGCTCCCGGTTGATATGGGTAATCTGATCCACACTAGTGATAGAGTCACTGAAGCCACTGAAGCATAGAAATTGCTACTGTTTCACCAAGAGAAAGATATTCACTAAAGTCTAAACTGAAACAAGAAATTAAGGAGAGCTAAATCCGTGAAGAGACAGACCTGATTCTTGCAGCAGAACCTTGATATTCTCAAGAGAGCAAGTGTGCCCAGACTGATTCATAGTATTATTACAACTTGAATGAAAATTATAAGATTTTTTCCATAGAAATTGATAAACTAATTCTAACTTTTATTAAAAATTCATTAGATTGAATTGGCCAAAACAACTGAAATAGAAGATCAAACTTGCAAGGCTGAGTTTAATCTAATGAAAGAACACCACCACCCCATTTGTTAGGAAATGAAAAGGCTTAGAAAAAATCGTATTCAGTGAAGTAAGCCAGTCCCAAAGAAATTTAGGTTCTATGGTTTCCCTTATTTTCAATAATTAGTATACATATAGGATAATCTTATCAGATGAGTTGAAAAGCTCAAACACTATGTACATATGATCATATAAGATGATGCTAAGTGAAATGAACCCCAAAATATGGACACAAGAGGTCTATCTTTGTTGTTGTTGTTGTTTTAAATGTACTATGTGACTTTTTTTGTTTCCTCTGTGTGTTTTTCCCCCTATCATATGTCCCCGTTGCACTGTACTTGATTTTGGTACCCTCCAACTTGTATATATATTGTCTAATCTGGGGAGGGGAAGAGGTATAACAAAAAGGTGAAACAAGGACACAGAATGACCAGTTGCAACAATGATACCTACAAGACAGTATATTGGAAACGAACTTTACAACTTCAGGCAGGGATTGGGGAGGAGTGTGGGAGGTCAGGGAGGCAAGGGATAGTGGGACAGCAACAAGGGAAGGGGTAACAATGATTGACAAATAATGTACTCATTGCCTTGCTCATATAACTCTAACCCCTCTGTACAGTATCTTTACAATAAATAAAACACAATAATATAAAAAATATGCTAAAGCGCAGAAGATGCCTCCCAAATAGACCGACATAAATTGTTTTGCACAAAAAATATTAAGGACAAAATCCAAGTATTTTGATAACTCCAATGCTGCATATTAAGTACATAACTTGAGGTGACATAGATAAGCATTTGTGTATATGTTTATATATGTGTATATATGTGCATATATGTGTATATATGTTCGTATAATCTCAAATGATGACAAAAACATTGACTAAAACTCCTAAAGCAAAAATGACAATAGACAAAAAATAAAAAGAAATCTGTGCACACTGTTGATCTCAGAAAAGTTACCCCTCTATATTTCTAGGAGCGAAAGAGGGGGTAAATTTTGAGACAGTTTCCTCCAAAAATGTTTGGAAAAAGAGATTTATAAACAAACACTGGAAAATACAAATTAAGTTCATAGCTAGTGGATGGTTCACACATGCAATCATAGCAGCTCTGTAGGCTGTGATCTGGAGGTTAATGTCTTGTGGTTAGTGTTGGGCAGAAAAGTTTGCAAAATTCATTCTCCAAAATAACCAGCAAAAATCTGTGCAGTAAAATAAATTCTCTTAAGTATCAAGAACTTTCTTATATTTGTATAGAAATAGAAACTTATTCTTTTCTACTTTCCTGTTTGTTTGCAATGTAAACTTACAAGTCAGGAGCCACAATTGACAGTTTCTAGTGTGCTTTTCTGGCTTTAATAATGGCAAACTGATATTAGTTAATGTGTTGTCTTTAATATTTTAGAAGCAAGCCATGATAGAGAAAAAAATGGCATACCATTTACAAAAAATGCAAGACATAGGATTTAAAGAAGATACAGGAAAGAACTCACATGAATACGGAGGACAAGATGGAACAATCTATGAATGTGAGCATAGTAAGGGGTGGTGTAGCTAAATGGATATGCTAATCTATGAAAAACTTCTTCATAATACATAGTGCTGTGTTTCTACCTGCTTAGCAACAAGACTTGATCTTATTATTTCTGTTAGCATGAATGCTGAAAAGTATACATATATGTAAACAGCATAAGAAATATTTTAGCTGAGGGTTCAAGAAAAATGTTTGTCTGTATTGCAATTTTTACTCTTTTCTCCATACATAAAATGACGTGGTTTTTACTAGTGAACACATGCAAATTTGTTACAGAGCAGCACAGTGTTCTGCTATGTTGTCAATAAGAAGGGACATTATTAGGACATAGAGGAGGGGAAGGAAGAAGAAGGGATATACAGAAAATGGGGGAAGAAGAAAGAAAAATAAAGATGAAAATCTAAAAGAAGAAATATAGAGAGCAATAACTGTGATACTCAGCTCATAAACACTTCATTTGAAAAATTATAGTGAGATATCAGTATTTAATGGCTAGAATGTAAACAGTACACTGGTTTTGACTATGACTCTATAGCATTAGGTCAGCACATGACAGTCAATCCTATTCCTTCCTTATATGTCTTATCTGCACCACTCCAGAAGATAACCAACTAGTCTCACTTCATTTCTACTTTGACCTGACTCAAATCCATTTTTATAGGCAGCTCCTCAGTTAATACTCCTCACTTAGTGATGTTTTCTTCTTCTGCCCCACCCCCAAACTATTACCTGTATATTGTGATTCACACTGCTTGGGCAAATGATCAGCAATACACAAAGTTCAGTCTTACTCTAACTTTTCTATTTGGTTACACACTGTACCCTGGAAGATGGCACTAATAGCCTAGTGGCAAAATGACCCACATCTGAAGCTGACCACTAAAAACCACTCTGTGTTATCTTTCTTGCCATCCAAATAGGTGAGACAAGTGTTTTAATTTTTCCATGAGAATTTCTTTGTCTAAAACCAAATATAATAACTTATATAAAGATCCTCCAAATTCCAGCACTTATTTCATTGCTCTGATCAAATGCCAGTATTGATCGTTCCTAAAATACAGGTTAAATGTCCCACTTTACTCTTCTAATCAATTTTCTCAGCCTATAGTTTTCTGCTCCCCACATCTACCAAATCATGCTTTACCTACACTCCATTAATCTTTCTTCAAGTTCCTAATTGGAAGTTCTCTCTCCTTTGAATCCATTTAATAAGCTGTAGCATTCATAATGTATTACATCTCTTAATGTCATAACCATTTGTAAAAGTTTCCACATTTGTGGTGATACATGTTTAAAAAGTATGTATACTAGATACATGTTTGCTAAGTAGAATTGATTAAATACATTTTTCATTGAGGCAATGATAGTAATCTCATGGTTCAGATTGAAAATTACTATAGTTATATGCATCCCAATATCTTAATAATGTCATGTAGTAAAAAATATTCAATTAAGTAGCAATCTGAAAAAGTTGATGTTTCACATTCTCTTTGGAAAAAAATAACATATTAAGAATTTTAATTTGCACTATTGAAGTTACAAAATATTAAAATGATATATTTTGCTAATGAAATACCACTATAATAATGCACAAAAGTTCTAAAGAGAAATAGAAAATGAATATTAGAAAACTCTGCTTCAGTGACCAACCAGTAAGGTGATAGAGTCTCACATAAATGAATATTGAGCATTTATGTAATGAGAGTATTTCCCACTAACATGCTTAAAAGAAGCTACACTTCCTCTATCACAAAAAGGAATAGATATATGTATACAAAACTAAATAAGTTGGTTTTTTTAGCTATTAAGATAAGAAACTCTATTTGCTTATTCCAGGCTGTAAGGAAAATCCAAGAAATGTAATAGCCAGCCAGCTAGGAATCTTCAGCCCTGTTCTATGCTGGTATACAAGTCCATAAGCAAGAGATTTATTACATGTTTTACTAGACCATTACATTTTTTTTCTGTTCTACCAGGAGAAATGGTTGAATCTCCTGTCTTCTTTAACTTGAAAGTATAGTATTTTATTTTTACCATTTCCCATCTCTCCATCTTCTCCTATCTCAATCCATCCTGCAGATTAGCAGGTGTTTTGCCACCTCTCAGACTTGAAAGATAAGTCTATCTTAGGAAATTCAATTTCCATCACCATGAAAATTAAATATTTTATTATTATTTCTTTTAAGTTTCTCCAAAGAAGAAAAAGAAATCTGATGAAGTTAAATTAGTTGGTGAACAGAAAGCTTCTAAAGAATTGAACGGTAAATATTTTCATAAGAAATACTAAGAGTAAGTAGACTAATTGTGGGAAAGACTCAGATTGGGATGATGTGCTGTTTTGACAAAAGGTCAGCTATGACTATGCAGATTGTTGTTTTCAGAATTTAATATCTAGCTAACCTATTGCAGTTTTCAAGCTCCCACTATACTTTCACTTTAGAAAAGGTAAAAGAAGGAATTATTACTTGTAAGTACACATTGTAGAATGCAGAGCTAATTGATAATACTTTATTTTTCCATTTTTAATTAGCACACATTTCTGGTGTGAGGGGCTTTCACCGTGTCATTGCCATATGTTTACGTAGTACACTTGGAAGAAATTAACCTCCTTAACCACATTTGTCTTTTTCTTCCTCCTCCATTTTGCAAAGAGCTTTTGGTAGATTTCACTATACTCACTTTGTGTGTGTGTGTGTGTGTGTGTGTGTGTGTGTGTGTGTACGCGCGTGCGCGTGCGCACTAACTGCATTTTTCAGTCTTCTTGACTCCTTAGTATTCTTTCATTTGTCCTTCCACTGATGTCCCTCAAAAAAAAACATTTTATGTTTACAACTCATTAATCATCACTATCTTCATAATCCTCTTCATATCAACATCACAACTTTAAGTATATATCTACAAATAGGGGAAAACATTTGATATTTGGATTTTTGAGCTTATCTCACTCAATGACATGATCTCCAGTTTCATCCGCTTGCCAGTAAATGGCATTGTTTTTTATGAGTGAGTGCAATATTCCTGTAATATAGGTATACCATATTTCATTTGTCCATTCATTAATTGTTGCACAACTCAGCTAACTCCAAAGTTTGGCTACTGTAAACAGTGCTGTAATAAACAAGTGTGCAAGTGTATCTCTTGTGTATTGAGCTATACTACTAATATGTTGAATAGTTGTAGAGTGGAATCCTAAGATAGATCTATTTCTACTTTTTGGAGGAACCTCAATACAGATTTCCATAGCAGTTCTACAGTTTACATTTGCGCTGTAAGTGTATGAGGGCTGCTCTGTCCTTACTTCCTCCCTGGCATTTGTTGTTGTTTGTTTCCTTGATTGCTATTCTGACTAGGGTGCGATGGAATAATTTTTAAAATTTATTGTGTTGTATCGTGAAGGTGATGTACAGAGGTGTTACAGTTACATAAGCAATGAGTACATTTCTTGTTGAACAGTGTTACCCCCTCCCTTGTTTTCTCCCACTTTCCCTACCCCCGACTCCCCTCCCCCTCCAAGTTGTAAAGGTCATTTCCAACATAGTGTCTTGTGAATATCGCTGTTGCATTGGTTCGAACCTTGTTCTTTGTCTCACCAAATCAGATAAACATATATACAAGAATCCAAGATATGGAAATGAGGGTTTCTTTTGTTGTTGTTGTTGCTTTAATGTACTGTTTGAAGTTAATTTTTCTTTCATTTTCCCCCTTGTGGTTTATCTATCCCCTGTAGTCACTGTTTTTTATCTTGGTGTGTTCTTTTTTGCACTGTTTCTTGCTGAAGATATTGAACTGTTTTTCATAAGCTTATTAGCCTGAGAACTATATCCAACTTGTTTATTAATTAGATTTTCTCTTTTATTTAACTTTTTGAGCTCTTTGTATATTATGGATATTAATCTTTTTATGGGGAATAGCTGGAAAAGATTTTTCCATTATTTGGATTCTCTATGATCTGGAAAATGTTTCTTTTGATGCATAGGATTTTCTTGTAATTTTATACAGTTCCATTCATCAGTTCTCACTCTTATGCACTGGGCAATAAGAGACCTATTCAGAAAATAATTATGGTAGGGTTTGCCATATATTTTCTTATAGTAGTTTCATTGAACTTTTTGACCATTTAGGACTGATATTTGTACAGAATAAGACATAGATTTGTTCTAGTTCCATCTATTTTCCTGCAAATGACATTATTTTATTCTTTCTAATGGCTGTGTACAATTCTGTTGTGTATAGGTACCACATTTAAAAAAATATTTAGTCATCTATTGTGAGGTATCTTGGCAGTTGTGAATATGTTCAGGGTAGTTGCCCAGGAGTGGTATGGCTGGCTTGTAAGGTAGGTCTATGCTTAGCTTTCTGAGGAACCTCCAGAATGCTTTCCAGAGTGGTTGTACTAGTTTACATTCCCACCAATAGGTGCAGTAGGGTTCCTTTTTCCCCACATTCCCACCAACATTTGCTGTTGTTTGAATTCACAATGTTGGCCAATGTTACTGGGGTGAAATGGAATCTCAGAGTTGTTTTGATTTGCATTTCCCTTAGACTAACGATCATGAGCATTTCCTTAGGTGTTTCTTTGACATTTCTTACCTCTTCTTCTGAGAAGCCTCTCCTTAGCTCCTTAGCCCATTTAGTAATTGGTTCATTAGGTTTGGGAGGGGTTTCTTGATCTCCTTGTATATATGGGATATTAGGCTTTGTCTGATATATTTGTTGGCTTTTTCATTTAGTAACTGTGTCCTTTGCTGTGCAGAAACTTTTTATTTTGATAAAATAAATCTCTTGTCAAATCTCTCTTCTATCAGTTGTGCCCCTGGGACTCCATTCAAGAAGTTTCTACCTTTACCTATGTTCTAATGTTTCTCCTACTCCCTCTTTTCAGCACTTTGAATGTTTCAGGTCTGACATTGAGGTCTGATCAAATTTGAATTGATATTGGTGTATGGTGACAAACAGGGATCCACTTTCAGTTTTCTGCATATGGATGCCCAGTTTTCCCAACCCCAATTGTTGAAGAGGCTATCTTTTCCCACTGTATGCCTTTGTATGGTTTTATTTCTGGGTCTTCTAATCTATTCCACTGATCTTCAGGTCTATTTTTATGCCAAAACCATGCTGTTTTATGTTATTATGGCTCTGTAGTAGAGTTTGAGGTCTGGCCATTTTTACAGTATAGGTTCTAACTAGTTCCATCATGAGGTTATTTACTTGAGCTGTTTCTGTTTTCTTTATGAGTGTGCTTAGAGCTGTAAGGTTTCTTCTTACCACTGCTTTTGCTGTATCCCACAGGTTCCTTTGTGATGTGTTTTCATTTTCATTGAATTGTAAGAATTTTCTAATTTCTTCCTTAATTTCTTCTGTGACCCATGTATTATTCAGAAGTATGTTATTCAGTCTCCATGTATTTGAGTGTTTTCTGAAATATGTTTTGTTGTTGACAACTAGTTTGTGATTCTTCTCTGGCCAGATAGGCTGCCAGGAATTACCTCAATCCTCTTGTATTTGCATGGGTTCTTTGTGGCCAATATGATCAATTATAGAGAATATTCCATGGTTTGCAGAGAAGAATGTGAATTGGTTCATTGTTGGGTATAATATTCTGTAGATCTTTGTCAAGTTCATTTGCATTATGGTGTTATTTAATTTAGAGGCTTCTTTGTCTTTTATTTGGTTGACCTGTCCTTTAGTGAAAGGAGACTATTAAAATTTTCCTTTATTTTTGTGTTGAGGGTCTATCATATTCTGTAAATCCAAAAGTGTTCATTTAATGTGTTTAGGTACTCCATTGTTTGGTGCATAAATATTGATCACTGTGATTTCCTCTGCCCTTTATTAACATGTAATTTCCTTCCTTGTCTCTTTGTACTGATTTTTTTTTAAAAAAATCAATTTTATCATATGCCAATTCGGCCACTCTTGTCTTCTTGCATGCATCTGCCTGAAAGATCTTTTTCTATTCCTTCACTCAGGAATTGTTTTTATCTTTGACTGTGACATGAGTCTCTTGGAGACAACAAATGGATGGATCTTGGTTTTTGATCCAATCTGCTGCTCTACTTCTTTTATTTGGGGGATTGAATCTGTTCAATGTTTAAGGTTATTATAGAGTAATGTATCATCTTCCTTGCCACTTTCTTGATTTCCTGTTTATTGCTTCTTTTTTGTTCCCCTGCTTACTAGTCTTCTAATGATTTTTGTCCAATGTGTTAGTTGAAAGATTCTAACCACATATTTAATTTTTTTCAAAAATATTTTCTACTTTATTTCAGAATTGCTTTTTTTTAATTGTGAAAATACTGTGCAGAGGGGCAAGATAATGAGTACATTTCTTATCAAGCATTGTAGCCTCCTCCTTTGTTTCCCCTTCCCATCCCTTCCCATCCTTCCCCCCCCATTCCTCCCCGCACCATAGTTGTAAAGTTCGTTTTCGACATAACAACTTGTACATCTCATAGTTGCAATGGGTCCACCTGTATCCCTAGTTAAACGATTTGTTTTTCCCCTTCCCCCTACAAATTATACCGACATCAAATACAGTGAAAGCAGGGGTTATACTGTGGGGGAGGGACATACAAAGCAACAAAGAAATAATCTTATAAATGTGTTAGAAACAATCGCATGAAAGAAAAAAAAACATTTGAATACATATCTTATGGTTCATTTCCCTAACATCACCTTTTTAATCAGTGTAGGATTCTTTAAACTATCTGATTTTCAATGAAAAAATGGTAGTTTATTACTTCAAAGAATTTAGCTATTGCATGAAATTTTTATGTGCACAATTTTCCTTATATTCTTTTAACTAATTATCTCTAGACTCTGTTGTGTTGGTTTCAGTTCCTTAGTCAAACTAGTTGTTCATTTTTACTTAAGTTCTTAAAGAGCTAGCTGTCTGCATCATTATATTCTCTTTTTATTCTTTGTTTAAATTTAACTTTGATCTTTCTTGTTCCTATAATTTTCCTTAGTAATTATTACTAAGAATATACAAAACAACTAAAGTATAGATGCATTTTTTGGGGGGGTCCGGTCATGGGGCCTGAACTCTGGGCCTGGGCACTGTCCCTCAGCTCTGCAGCTCAAGGCTAGAGCTCTACCACTTGAGCCACAGTGCCACTTCTGGCTTTTTTTTCTTTTTGCTTATGTGGTGCTGAGGAATCAAACCCAGGGCCTCATGCATGCAAGGCAAATGCTCTACCACTGAGCCACCTTCCCAGCCCTAGATGCATTGTTTATTGGTATATGAAATGTTCTGATCATTTTGGAAAGGGCTTAAAATTTCTTAAAATTTCTTTAAAATTTTTCTTAAATCCTCCTCTCACCTCCCCCCCACCCTATACTCCCCCTCCCACCAAAGTTGTAAAGTTCCTTTTTCAACATAATATCTTGTACATCTCATTGTTGCAATGGGTCCACCTGTATCCCTATTTAAACAATTTGTTTTTCCCTTCCCCTCCCCAAATTATAGGAACATCAAATACAGTGAAAATAGGCGTTCTTATACTAGATATGTACCTGCTTGAAATGGGGAAAATGTCACACAAGATTTATGTACTCCTGTAATTTATAAAAAGTTTATTTTATAAAATGACAAAATTGAAAAAAACTCAACTATCTTATCAGCTAATGAGCAAATTTTAGACATATATCAACATTGAAAAGAATAAACTCTTGAAGCATGTATTAGAATTATGTTGAATGAATGACACAAAAAGAAAAATAGTGAGAGGAATAAGAAGAGGAGAAGGAGGAAAAAGAAGAGGAGGAGGAGGACTATATGGTTCAATTTAAAAGAAATTCCAGAAAATGCACTAGTCTTGTGTTATAGTTGTCATTGGATGATTCAAATAGAAAAATGGATGAATCTTACAATTCCAAAATTATGTATGTATTTCAAAATTAATGAAATAATTGTATTTGAAGAACGAAATAATACAGTTAAAGAACAATTTAATGTAACTGAACTGTATTTAAAGTTATGTTTAACATTATCACTTTCCTTTCATTTCCTTTCAGGACACACAGGAAATTCTGCTCATCATTCTCAAAGTATAACAAAAAATATTACAAAAATATCAACAACTTCAGTAGATGTACATAATACTGTCTCAGAACAAAAGGTAAAATGTTATATTTTAAACTTTTGTTTAATGTTTAATTCTTTTGGCTATCTCTTTTGCTAGCATGGGATTGATTAGTGAGGAATGTTGATTCTAAATGCCTTACATAATTTAGCATGAAATAACCCAAAACATATTTATTCATAACAATGATATTGTTAGCTAGTATCTAACAGATACTAGACCAGGTACTCTGATAAACCAAAAAAAAGAGACTAGAAAGCAAAGATGAGTCCCTATGAGGAAATATTGTTCACTGAAACAAGAGACACAGAAAAATGTGATTGCAATAAAATAAGTGTGCAATGATGAAAATTTTTCCATTAGGATTATGTGGTTACTTTCAGTAAATATTGTGCTGAGTTTGATAGAGTGTGAATACATAGCTTTAGATTTTCTTAGACTTAGGTTTTTTTTTTCAGAACCACCCATTGAATGGATCATCATGTCTTTAAACAAAATATAAAATATTGAAAGAGGGAGTTAGTTGGAACAGTGCTCTGTATTAAGCTCAAGTTTGAAATAAATTTGAGAGCCCATATTGGATAGCATGGGTGACTGAGAAAAGGAGGTCTTGTTCCTGACACAGATTCAAGTACTGGAAGGGAAAAATGTATCTGGGTTCATCTGGTTAACTGAAAGGAAATCCTCTTTCAGAACTATAGTTACTTAATTTTTTTTCTTAATTTAATGTGTCATACAGAGAAGTGGATCATATAATAAAAAAACAAGTGCTCCTGATGATAAAGGTAAGATCATGAAATATTTACAATTATCTTGTTATTAAATGCATATTTATAGTTTTAAGGTTTTTTTACTTGATTATAAAAATATGGCTTATTTTATGCCTCTGGCTCACGTCTATTAACCTACTACTTGGAACTTGACACCAGCTTAGGTAATAAAATCCCTGAGACTCTTATCATAAAATATGTGAAAAGTGAAGTTATAGCTCAATTGGTAGAGTACTAACCTCAAGCAAAATCTCAGGTACAGCACTCTGGCCCTGAGTTCAGGACATAGGACCAGAAAAAAAAAAAAAAGACAGGCAGGCAGGAAGGAAGGAAGGAGGGAGGGAGGGAAGGAGAGAGGAAAGAAGGGTGAACCCATTGCAACAATGAGATGTACAAGTCGTTATGTAAAAAAATGAACTTTACAACTTTGGGGGGGGGAATGAGGATGGGGGTGGGATGAGGATTGGGGTGGGGGGTGAGGGAGATAGGAATGGAAAGGAAGAGGAAACAAAGGAGGAGGCAACAATGCTTGATAAGATATATATTCATTATCTTGTTATTTTGCCCATGTAATTGTATCTCCTCTGTAAGGTATTTTCACAATAAAAAAAAGAAAGAAAAAGAGAAAGAACTTGGGGTTTGCTTTGGTTGTTTATAGAGGTGAGGAGACTACATTACTGACATTCTATGGCTGAGGAAATTTTAGTATAGATAATTGTTACTATGGATAGTCTCATATTCCACTATCATTTTCAAATGATGGTTGAATTTTCCTTTTTTCTTTTATATAAATTAGTTACAATTTTTGCACATTGTTAGGATTTTGAACATCACTAGAAGTACACACTCAGGAAATGAAACATATCTCCATTGATATGACAAATGACCACCTCAAATTCAATGAAATTCATCATCTTTCTGACTTCTAATATGACCAGTGTACAAAATCTGACATGTCATTTTCTTTATTTTTTTACATCTAAAAGTTAGAAATTTTGGATAATCTCATATATTTTTTTCTTGTTTGTCATTCAGTAGATGTACATAGTGTCTCTATTCAATATGTCAATTTTTGAGTTCTATGCATTTGAGGCAATATCACACCTTCCTATATTTATTTTAACCACTTTTCCTCTTATTTTCTCTGTTTTTCTATTGCAGTGAGCTTCTTTCAATCATGTTTCCTTTTTGTAATACACCATATATTTTTCTATGAAGATAACCTTCCTAAAATAAAGTTTTATTTATTCCCTTGTATAAATGTGAGTCATCTTTAAATACCTAAAATATTTTGGTAGTTGAGTGTGGTGGTTTTATAAGATTAAGATGGTATAATAATTTTTCCAAGTCTATCCATTTTCCTGTAAATGACATACTCAATTTTTCTTCATGGATGAATAAAATTTTCTTGTATATTCATATACCACATTTTCTTCATCCATCCATTTACTTAAAGGCATCAGGGCTTTTCCATAACATGACTCTGGCAAACAGTCAATGGACATTCATGTTCAATAGATATGCAACAATGAACATGTATGTCAAGTGGCTTCACTGTATTATATTACTAGTACACTTTTGGATAAATGCCCAATTGTTATCACTAGATCATAGGGAACTTCTGTGTTTAGTTTTTGAAGGTATTCCCAAACTGCTCTCTTCATATTCCTACCAACATTGTTTTAGGGTTCCTTTTCTCCCTTATCCATGCCGATATCTGTTATTGGTTGTATTCTTGATGATGGCCATTCTTATTGGGGTGAGATGGAATCTCATTGTGGTTTTGATTTGCATTTCCTTTATGGCTAGCAATGTTGAACATTTCTTCATGTCTCTATTGGCCATTTTTATTTCTTCCTCTGAGAGTTCCCTATTGATTCTTTGAGGGTTTAGTTTATGAGTTCTTTGAATATTCTGGATCATTCTGGTCATTGTCTTACATATAGCTGGAAATGATGTTCACCTACGCAAGTAGGGTATATTTTTAGCTTAGTGCCTATTACTTTACTGTGCAGAAACATTTTAGTTTAATGAAACCCTGTTTGTCAATTCTCCGATTTTCTGAGCCCATGGAACTTTACTCAGAAAGTTTCTTCATATCTAAACAAGCTCTCATTCTTCTACAACCCCTCCCTCTAGAAGTTTCAAGCTTTTAGGTGCTACATTGAAGTCTTCTATCCATCTTAAGTTGATATTAGTAAGAGATGACAGACTAGAATCCAGTTTCAGCTTTACGTATATAGATATCTATTTTTCCCAAAAACATTTGTTGAAGAGGCTTGTCTTTTTTCCAACGTATATGTTTTACTTCCCTCTCAGATAACAGATGACTGTAGATATGGATTTATTTTTAGGTATTATAATGTATTCTATTGGTCTTCAGGCCTATTTTTGTTCCAGTACCAAACTGTTTTTGTTATTATGACTCTTTAGTAAAGCTTCAAGTGTGAAATTGTGATACTTCTAGCACTGCTTTTCTGGCCCAGATTTCTTTTGTAAATCAGAACCTTAACTTACAAAATTGTAACCTCTTTGCACAACTATTTAATAATTTTTAAATTATGTTAGGTCAAGTAAGTCAGGCTCAAAGAAACAAAGGATGAATGTTTTCTCTCTGTGTGGAAGTTCAATCAAAAATTTGAATACATTTGTAAACATACACAATGTCATTTGCACAATACATAAATGATTTAATAAGTGCTCAGGGGAGGACTCCAAGAGTACAATTCCCTTGCACAACTAACTTGTAGTTTCACAAAATGAATAACAGAAAGCTGGAACAGGAATTGTTGTGGGAAGTGAGGTCCAAGGGAAGGAGGGTAGATGAATGGAGAGATGAAGAATGGGAGAATACAGTCATGATATTTAATGTACTTATGTGAATATATACCTCTGTAAATTTAGGGGATGATGGGATCAGATAGATGGGAAGAATGCTTAAAGGAATGATACTGATCGAAGTGCATTGTTCTTACAAACTGACATGCTGAAATTTGTAGGCAGTAAATATAAAAAAATCATTTTGTTTTGGCAATACTTCCTTAATTCAAATAAGTTTCCATTGTAGTTATATCAGTCATTGTGACAGATCAACACAGAAAATATTGGAGCAAATTAATATTCATTATTTATTCTATAAGATTTATTTAAATATATCTCTTCTTTCTCTAGGAACTACGAATATATCTAATCCAGATTCAAATTTTTCAAATCAAAATTCACCCACAAGAAATTACTACAAACATTCACAGTTATATTTGAGTCCTACAAAACAAGAGGTATGTATCATATCATTTACTCAAAATACAAACACACTAAATGAGCTATGACCTTATGGTCACTGTTAGCATGTGATACTGTCTTTCTTTAACCATACAAGACAGGTTTTAATGACTGAAGTTAATTCAACCCTACTAAAAATTTAATAACTCTAATACAGTATGAATAAATGTATGTCACAAGATGATAATTTATAATATGTAACAGCAGTCCTCAGAAGAATCAAATCAAGCTTCTTTGATTGAGCTTCTGGTAATAGTACTTCTGGTTTAGTATTTTTTGACCAGTGGTCAATTACCTGCTGTAGAAAAATTAACAAGGATTCACAGTACAGACTTCACATAGGTTTCCTTTGTAATATGTCAACTTATTATTGGTTTCCTCAGCTAACCAGTTAATATAGCATTAACTGCTTTATTGCTCTAAGAAGTTACAATGGTTTGAATACGATTTCTATAGGCTAGAGATTTCCTGAGTTATTCCAAAATGAATTTTCCCTGATTCTCTTATCCTGAAATATATAACAATTGAGAAATTAAATTATGCAGAACAAAAATATTCTTTGGTTACATAATGTGCTGCCTTATACTATAGTTTATATTTATATATAAAGAAATATTTGTCTTCAGGACTGTTGTCAGAGTGCACTCTTCTTATGTATAAGTAGCTAGCCAATCAGAAAAAAAATAACACTGATATTTTAAAACCATATTCCCATCATAATTCAAAGTATATATCCTTAATTTAAAATATCAAGACTACCTCCCCGAAAAACCATGTCTAAATTTTATTATTTTCCTTTTAGGGGAATATATGTGTTACTAATTTAGTCCTTCTCATTAAATTCAAATGGGTACCAGGTGTTAAAAATAAAACTAATTTATGTTAAGGAAGAGAGTATTTAAGTTATTATAATATATTCTTGAACATTACATACAGCCTACCATTGTCAGAAAATATACCAGGGTACCTGTTTCAGGATTCTGATCCAGGGAAAATAAGGAGTATATTACACTGAATTTGCTTCTCAAAGCAAGTCTGGTTCTTGAAAATATCTAGAAAACTATATTAACATATGGAGAGAACTAATTTCCATTTTGTACTTCTTCTTGCACGTTTTTTTCTTTTTTTTTTTTTTTTTTGGAGAGGTCTGGTTGTGGAGCTTGAACTCTGGGCCTGGGCACTGTCCCTCAGCTCTTCAGCTCAAGGCTAGCGCTCTACCACTTGAGCCCCAGCGCCACTTCCGGCTTTTTTCTTTTTGCTTATGTGGTGCTGAGGAATTGAACCCAGGGCCTCATGCATGCAAGGCAAGCACTCTACCACTCAGCCACCTTCCCAGCCCCTACACGTTTTTTCTACTGTTGGTTTTGTTCAAAGACACAGCTCTTCTTCTTGTTGAAGTGATTAATTTTATTTCAAAATTACTGCATTCTAAGACAGCTAGCTTTGAGTTTCTACTGGATGCTGTGGTACAGGAATTCGGTAATGGAGCAGCCTAAGACAGCTTCCTTTAAATGCATCTTCATGTAAATTCTGGCTTTGGCTGATGTGTAAGAATGTGAGTGAGGTAATTTTTTTTCTATTCCTTTTGGATATAAAACAAGTATCCACTGTATTTAGACTATTAAAACTATTTGATTCTTCTGAATCATATGGTTATCTTCTGAGAGTGAAAAATTGGAATGTACTAAGCAAAAGGATGTCCTCATGAAAAGCCTTCAACAACAATGTTGAGTTTCTAGTTGATGAGTGGGTTTCCTTGGATAAAAACATTCTAAATTCATTATTCTATTTTTTCTTGCTAGAGTAGAGAGAGACAAGAGGGAGAGAGAGGGAGATAGAATATAAGAAAGGAAAGTATATGGATTTCTCCAGACCCAGACTGGGTCCTTCCCCATTTTTCTCCTGTTGGTATTATTGTATTGTAGTAAAGCTTAGATTGAATATAATCTTGTGATGAATATTGAAGTCTTAAAAATTATCAAATGTGTGTATAGTATTGTGGATAACTTCTGCAATAGCAAAGACATTTTAACTATATCAATAATATATACAAAAGCCGGGCGCTGGTGGCTCACGCCTGTAATCTTAGCTACTCAGGAGGCTGAGATCTGAGGATCGCAGTTCAAAGCCAGCCCGGGCAGGAGAGACTGTGAGACCCCTATCTCCAATAAACCACCAGAAAACCGGAAGTGGCGCTGTAGCTCAAGTGGTAGAGCACTCGCCTTGAGCTGAAGAGCTGAGGGACAGCGCCCAGGCCCAGCGTTCAAGCCCCGCGACCGACAAAAAAAAAAAAAAAATATATATATATATATATATATACAAAATAAACATAGTAAAATGTATGCATTGAGATTAACATTCAAGTTTCAAAATGGTAAATTTCATTGTTTTCTTTATCCATTCTGTTATTTATTTATTTTTGTGCCAGTACTGGAGCTTGAGCTCAAGGCCTCAAATGTTGCTTGGCTTTCTCATTTGAGACTTGTGCTGAACTTCTTGAAACATGGTTCTAGTTCTAAATTTCTGCATTTTAAATATGAAAATAAGAGTTGAATACTCAATTTCTCCAAAGAGGGATATCTTTTGGTTTTTTGTTTTAATAGAAGGAGGCAAATGATGATGATAACAACAACAACAACGAAAGACCAAGCAAGAAATCAAGCTGGGTCGGTGACTCAGGTCAGCCTCAGAAGCAATTATTAAGTAAACTGCAATATTTTAAACTCATTATCTAAATTAAATATTTTCAACTCTCCCACTTCATGCTGTGTCAGGTGGCATGGTAGAACATGCAAGGGATAGAAGCCCTTATTTATTAACCTAAAGCTGTTACTGCCTAAGGTTGAAATAGCCATGGAAGTAAAACACAATCTAATACTATTATAAATACAAAAAAGAAAAAATAAGAGGGCCCAGGAAGACAAGGCCAACGCCAATCTAGGGCCATCAAGAAAACACTCTTATTTCATTCAGGAAAGAGGAAGCTTAGAAGTAGAGAATTCAAAGTTGGCACCTACAATGAGAATAAGGTTTTAATAGGAAGGAAGAGGATAGGAGAATAGAACAGTATGAATAGTCCAAGGTACATCATGTTAGAAGACTAGAAAGGAAAGCAAATAAAGTTACTAGAGGGGAGTAACCCGTAAATACAAAAATAAATAAAAACATGTACAAAAAGTATAGATAAAGTTATACTGAGAAAAGTGAAAGGAAGGAACATAAACCAACAAGCAATCTGGCACTTTCTAAAAGTAAAAGCAATAAATAAAGATTGTGGACAAGAGAATTTATAGAGAAAAGCAAATGAGAAAGCGCTCTTTATTGTAGACAGAAAATGAAAATGTGAGAGTAATAGATACAATTGAAAATCAGCAGTGAAAGTGGATATATGGTCCACATATAATGACTGCAAAAAAAAGGAAGAATAAAGCAGAACTCAAAAGAAAGTTTCTTTGTTAAATGGAAACTTTTTTGTACAATTAAAACAATTAAATTTTTAAAAGACAAACAATGAGGACAAAAATACCAAAAGTAACCATTGGTCTTTTCTTCATTGCCCTCTGTCTCAGCCTTTTTGTTTTTATCTTCTCTTTTCAAATCAGAACATACCATTCAATGGAGCAGCCAATTTGGAATCTTAGCTTGTCAGAAGTGTAGCTGCTCTGAGCCACGTAGCTGATTCCCCATTGAAGAAAGATGGACATAGAGCTCTATTTACAGTTCAGGCTCTCAATCTCTAACTTGTAGCATCCTCAGCACCCAAGTGCCACCAATTCATAGACACTTGTTCTCTATACAGGTGGCTTTGGGTTTCCATGTAAGATACTGCAGTGCTGTGCTCTGAGTTTGCTTGCTTTCTCATTCACACCACACACATCCTTGCTGCAAAAATGTTCTAGTTGGAACTGTGATTAGTATCAGGGCTCCACTAGACTTTTGTCTTGTAGGGGTTGTGGGATATAGTTGTGTCTGCTTAGATTCCTCCACAGGCCAGCCTGACTGGATAAGAGACCTCTGCCACTTGCAAATTCCCTCACTCTACTCTCTCCTAACACCCTTTAGTATCAATGCAAGGGTCTAGTTCATATATTCCACAGGTCTGTGCCAACTGGCACTTGCCAGCAAGTGCATAAGATGCAGATGAAGTCAAACCTACTGGCTTCCTTAGCAATTCTTCAGAGTGTGGTGTGAAAATAACAGTTTAATGAAGTGTCTGTGAGGAGAGATACCCAGGTGATAGCACTCCACTGTCCTATGGCTTGTGATGGAGACACTATCTCTCCAGAACTGAAAATGCACAAGACATATCTGCACAAATTAAACTTGAAAAGATTCATAAGACATTTTATTAGTACTTATTGATTGTTCACTATTTTTGAAAAATAAGAATTAAGCTGGATTCCAAAATGATTATAATTACTAACACTTTTTTTCCTGACCAGAGCACATTTATATGACTAAGACTTTCATTTATTTGTGTATTTTTACAATCAACAAACACAAATCCACACCAGTCCAATCCAATATACAGTAAAGATATTCTGTATGAAGACTTGGCTATCTATGCAGAGTATCCAAATCAAAAACAGAATCTTGCATTCTGTACACAAAACAAGTAGATAATATTTCAACACATGATTGAAAAGATAGATCAGTAAATAAATGCTAGGGAACTCCATGAATAAAGTATGTTCCAAAAAATGAGCATTATTTAGCACTTAGTATGTTCACTGAAGAGGAAGTTAGGTGGAAATTATATCATAGGGAAACACAAGAGTACACTTTTTATTATTGTAAAACCTAGCACTGGGGATGAATATTTAAGTAGGCTTAAAAGAGTTAATGTGAACATAAGAGATAACATAAAGATTTAAGGCAGTTAAAAGGGAGCACAGGGTATTCTAAAGGAAATGGGAGGAAAACAGACCAGAGGCATAGAAAGCCTGATATGTTTAAGAAATTGTCATTTGTTGCTGGTCTCTGGAATGTAACATACATATAAAAGACTCACCACAATGGCATTAGAGAGAGAGACAAGCATGTTAGGTCTTCTGGTATATTTTATGTCGTGCTAAGGACTTGAGATTTTACCTTGGAAAGTTCTCAAGAGCCTGTAAACAAGGCTATGACAACAGAAAATATTGGCACAGGGTATTATAATTTTAACAGATTGTTGAGGATGGATACAAATTACAATTTTCTCTTTAGGAATTCATCCTCAGAATCCAGGGCCCCGTGTTGTTTCTTCTTCTGTTTTCGCAAATATGTAAGTATTTAAACAATGTGAAATTCTGAATTAATATTTTTAATAATTGCATAAGAGTGCTACTCTCACTTGCTGAGAGTACTTCCCCTGAATTCAGGGTCTTTATGCCCTCCCATCTCCAGATCATTTCCCATGATCAGATTTTCTTTCTTTCTCCCAAACACTTATTATTCCTTATAGTCTGAAATTATTAGCTTCCTAAGAGTGATAAAAATTTATTATATAATATAGAAATGTATTTCCTTTCTAAAAGGAAGTGTCATCCAAAGTAACAATCTACAAATAATAATAGTAATGATGTATTCCTCAGACAGAAGAGATATTTTTAAGCCCCCAAAGCTTTTCATTTCTCTGCCTTTTTTGATTACTTGCATTGGTTAAATAATATAATACTTACATCCATTCTTGTTAATTTGAGAAGAAGGAGAAAATGTAATGGGGATCCAATACCACCATCTTAAGGAAAATCAACAAACCAAATCAAGTATAAGAGGTTCGACTTTTCTAAAACAAGGTTCCTATGTCAACAAGTAAACACAGATCTAATAGTCTTATTAAATGGCAGAATATTTATCAAACATTCAAAGAAAAATGCCAGATGTTAGGCACATACCAGCATTTCCATAATGTGAGTATGAGCTATTGTTTTCCAAAGATATCATGGAACGAAAAAGAAAGGATAAAAATAATCACTTCCTCTTATTATCTGTACTTATCAGACCTAAAGTAGATGCTTAATTTTCAGAATTCTGGAAATTATTCTGGAATTTTGATTCCAACCATTGCTTTTATGGAAGAATCAGTTTCTACAGATCCTTACTTTGATTATATGATATGATTTTCTCTGATTATATGATTCTTCAGGTTATTGTAATTGTTTTTCTCTGATTATAAGATTTTTCAGGTTATTGTAATTGCTTTCGTTTCTTTTTCCCTCAACTCTTCAGCTCAAGGTTAGCGCTCTACCACTTGAGCCACAACGTCCACTTCCGGCTTTTTTTGTTTATGTGGTGCTGAGGAATCCAAGCCAGGGCCTCATGCTTGCGAGGCAAGCACTCTACCACTGAGCCACCTTCCCAGCCCCCTGCTTATGTTTCTTTTAAGTTTTTCTTTGTTTCATTTTATCACTGTGGGATGGGAAACCTCTTGAGAACACGTGAGATAACATTGGCCTACACAACATGGACACTTTTAAGTGATAGTGTACATAATCAGAAATCTATGGTTAAATCTATGAGTATTGAGTAATCACTCACACATTGTTTTCCTACTATGATATATGGGCAAATGGATGAAGATACATGAAATTAAATTGCATAAATAAAGTGATTACAGAAAGTGTGATCAGAGCACTCCCGTGTTATCATGTCTACTAGCAGAGAAGAGTCTATTCCTTCCTTCCCTCCAAATCTGCAGAGAATCATGGAGCAGGCATAGCTAACGTAGGTACAGACTATAACGATCAGTTCTGTTGCTAATGGAGGAGTTATAACTTCCCTAAGTAAGGAAAACAAAGGAGGAGGCAACAATACTGGATAAGAAATGTACTCATTACCTTGCTCATGCAATTGTACTGTACAGTTATGTACTATTTTAAAAAAGTACCTTTCTGAATCCAAAGGCCAATGTCTAAGAAAAAAGTGAAATAAGAGGTTTAGAGAATATAAATAAAGTTTAGTTTCCTTTTTGGATTCTTGTAGAGAACTTCTCAGAAATAGAAGAAAAACTGATTCAAATATTAGACATTGTGGGAATAGTTTTGGAAATTCTCTATCTCTAAATAATTAACCAACTTTTCTTGGCTTTACAGACCACAGCATCTTCTACAAAATTGCTTGCATGAAAAAGTATGTACAAAAACCCATTCATAAGATAGCATATTACATGCTTTATATCGTGTCAGTAGAAACATAAGTGAATCAGATAATTAGGGATCATGTATTGATATTTATCAATCTTTTCTATTTTCTCATGCCTTTTGAAGTTTACATAATTCTGAGGTTCTGTTTTTATCTAAAGTTACTTCAAAAGATAATGCTTTCCCTCCAGAAAGAAGTTTTTCTCAAGCATATAAATTGTGAAAGCATGAGGGACCTCACCCTCAAGAAGCAGTATCAAATGCAACAAAACTGCCTATAGTGGGAAAATGTCTTTCATGGCTTTGCTGGCCTTGCTGATAAATTCATTAGCAGAGTCAGGACGCATAGTTCTCTCTCTAGCAGTGTTCATAGGAACTAACGTATATCATCTCACATCTCATATAAAGGTGGCTGGTCACCTGTGTTTTGAAAAATCCAAGTCTGGGTCTAGTCATACCTGGCAGGAAAAAGAAAAGTGATATGGAAAAACACATACTCATGGCATTTCGCGCATACACTGCTCAAATCATAGACTACATAGCAAATACAATGGTTTTTATTCAATGACTATTGCTCAATTACTCTAATGCAAAAATGTTGAAAAAGATCATATTTACCTAATTTCACTACATTCAAACCTTTACGAATGTCCCTCTTTCTTACATTGAAATTGGAAATGCCTTCCCCCAGACTCAGCCTAAGACTAATAATTTAGGTCTGTTATTACCATATCTGGTAATAATAAAAATTATGTATTTTGAATATCTCAGTTTATATGTCCTGTTAATTTAGAGTAAGCATGTTCTCTATTAAATTTGAGGATTCTGCATAAAAATTAAAAAACTAATAGGATATATTTATAAAAACTAAAAGTATTTTATATTTTATTTTATATTAATATTTATTATCTTCTCATAGTTGTACAATGTATATGTATGTATATATGTAATATATACAAGTATATATGTAATATATATGTAATACATTCACCCTCTTCAGCATTTCCCCCAATATATACCATTTCTCAAGGCTCTCAACAACTCTCCTAGTATTACCACATGGAGAGAGAGAGGGAGAGAGAGAGAGAGAGAGAGAGAGAGAGAGAGAGAGAGACTGTTTTCACCCATAATTCCCCTCTCCTTCATTTGCTTTGTCCATTAGACCTCATTACCCAGTCAAGATATGTTTCAGCCTCCTGAGAGTCATTTTGTTAAAACATTTGTTAATTGTTCAATGGGTTTAAACTATGGAATCACATGCTGAATGTTCCAAATAATAGTAAGTTATATATGTAAATGTATTCATCTTCATACGTTTATATTTTAAGCCTATCATTTCGATATTTTAGAAAGGAACATTTCTTTGACTTTCTGAGAAGGGCTTACTTTGTTCAATTTGTTTTCCAGATATATCCATTTCCCTAATACATATATATGTGTGTGTGTGTATATATAGATATAGATATAGATATATATATATCTCATGTGCTATATATGTAAGTGATATATACATGTGAGAGAGATGTGATATATGTGTATATATCCATATACATATATATACATGTGCGCATACATATACACATGTCTATATGTGTATATGTATATACCCATGTGTATGTATATCATGTATATATGTCTGTATAAACACACACATATATACATGTATATATATATACATATATATGTATATATATATACACACATACATTTTCTTTAAGGGAGTTGGGGCTATTTCCATAACTTGAGTATTGTGAATAGTGCTGCAATAAACATGGCTGTGCAGGTGCCATTATTATATCCTGATTTGCATTCTCTTGAGTAAATAAGTGCCCAAAAGTTTTATTACTGCATTGTAGCTTATTTTTGTTTTTGAAGAATCTTCATTCAGACTTCCATAGTGGTTGCACTAATTTATATCCCATAGTGTACTGGGGTTCCATTTTCCCCCACATTTTTTGCCAACATATATTTCTGTCCTTATTTTTGATGATGGCCACTGTGACTGGAGTGAGAGGGTATCTCAATGCTGTTTTTCCTATTTCTGAAATATTTCATTGATATTTTAATGCAAATTGCATTAGATTTGTGGATTTCCTTTGACAGCCTGGATGTTTTCATATTGATTCTGCTAATGCAAAACATGAAATCTCTTTCCATCCTCTGATGTCTTTTACTATTTATTTCTTTAAACTCTTATTTTTTTACCATAGGGATCTTTTATCTTCTGGATTAAACTTATTCCTAGGTTTGGGTTTTTGTTTCTTTATAATTCTTTGTTTTTTACAGCTAATATGAAGTTGTTTTCTCTCATCCTGTTTAGTGTTAATGTACATTAAAAACTACTGATCTTTGTGCATAGGTTTTCTATCCTACTGCAGTCCTGAGGGGCATTATCATCTCTAGGAATTTGAGATGCAGTTTTTAGGGTATTGTATGGATAGCAAATAGAGATACTTTGACTTCTTCCCTATTTTGATCCATTTTATTTCTTTTTTTGTTACTTGAAATTTGGGTACTATAATGAATAAGAGTATATAGAGTGTACTCATGTGTCTTGTTTCTGGTTTTAGAGGAATTGGTTTCAGTTTTTCTCCACTTAGCATAAGGTTAGCTATAGGCATATCATGTACAGCCGTTATTCTTTTTATCTGTTTATGTGGCCTGTTGTACTTATTAATTTTCCTACATTGTACCAATCTTACATAAGTGGAATAGAACCATTTTGATCATGGTGTAAGATTTTTTTTATTACTTATTGGATTTTGTTAACATTTTATTGAGAAATTTAGCATATATATATATATATATATTTTTTTTTTTTTGTCGGTCGTGGGACTTGAACTCTGGGCCTGGGTGCTGTCCCTCAGCTCTTCAGCTCAAGGGGAGCGCTCTACCACTTGAGCTACAGCGCCACTTCCGGTTTTCTGGGGGTTTATTGGAGATAGGAGTCTCAAGGTCTCTCCTGCCCCAGCTGGCTTTGAACCACGATCCTCAGATCTCAGCCTCCTGAGTAGCTAGGATTACAGGCGTGAGCCACCAGCGCCCGGCTTTTTAGCATATATTTTTATCAGAAATTAGTCTTTATTCTCTTTTTTGGTGTGTCTCTGTTTGGTTTTTGAAGAAGTAGAAGGCTGACTTCATGGAATGACTTCAATAGTGTTCCTTTCTTTTAGATTTCATGAAAAAGTGTGAGGACCATGGTTTTAAATCTTTAAAGATCTTAGCAAACCCAGTGCTGTAACCACTGGGTTCTGGGCTTTTCTGCTGGCTGATCTTTATTCACATTTATTAAATCTTTTAAGTAAGTTTTCAAGGAGTCTTAATTCAACATGTCAGTTGGAGGAGTCTTTATTACCGTTTCCGTGTTACTAAAAGAGTTTTCTAGGGACTGGGAAGGTGGCTCAGTGATAGAGTGCTTGCCTTGCATGCATGAGGCCCTGGGTTCAATTCTTCAGCACCACACTAGCCAGAAGTGGCACTGTGGCCCAAGTGGTAGAGCGCTAGCCTTGAGCTGAAGAGCTGAGGGACAGAGCCAAGGCCCAGAGTTCAGGCTGAGATTAGGTAAAATATAGCCTCACAATCTTTAGAGGTTTGCTTATTATCCTCACTTTCATCTCTGATTTTATGCATCATTAACTTTCTCTTTTTAATCAAATTGCCTTAAGATTTTTTCAAAGAATTTGTGAGTTTTTTTGCGAGGGGTCTGGTCGTGGGGCCTGAACTCTGGGCCTGGGCGCTGTCCCTCAGCTCTTCAGCTCAAGGCTAGCACTCTACCACTTAAGCCACAGTGCCACTTCCAGATTTTTTTCTTTTTGCTTATGGGATGCTGAGGAATCGAACCCAGGGCCTTAGGCATGCAAAGCAAGCGCTCTACCACTGAGCCACCTTCCCAGCCCCTTATTTTGTGATTTTACACAGGATTTTTTTTGTCTGTGTTTTATTGACTTCTGCCATAATCATTCATTATATTATATGTTATTTCTTCTGGTAGTGTTAGGTTTAGTTTATTCTTGTTTTTCAAGAAGTTTGAGATGTATCATTATGGTTTTAATTTGAAATTACTTTGTTGATATGTGCACATAATATATCAACTTTCATTTGCCTTTGACATACCCAGAAGGTCTAAAAATATTTTTATTTTTATTGGGTTCTAGCACATGACTGATTTCTTTTCATTCTTCTATAACTCACTTATCATTCAGCCAAGTGAGAGCTCTGGGACCAGAGCTTAAGCCCCAAGACCTTCACAAAGTAATTTATTACCATGTCTTGATAGCCTTTGTGTGTGTGTGTGTGTGTGTGTGTGTGTGTGTGTGTGTGTGTGTGTTGTGGGGGGGGTCGTGGGGTTTGAACTCTGGGCCTGGGCACTGTCCCTCAGCTCTTCAGGCTCAAGGCAAGCACTCTACCACTTGAGCTACAGTGCCACTTCCAGTTCTCTAGTGGTTTATTGGAGATAAGAGTCTCACCAACTTTCCTTCCTGGGCTGGCTTTGAACTGTGATCCTCAGCTCTCAGTCTCCTGATAGTCATTTCTTAACATGAAGTGACTTTTTTGGTCTCTTCTGAATAATTTTGATTTGAAGTCTACTTTGTTGTATACAAGTATGACTACACTGACTGGAGGCTTTTTGTTTGCCAGACCTTTTCTACCTTTTCCCCTATACTAGTATTTGTTCTTGTTGGATAAATGTGTTCGTTATAGACAACAAAAGGTTGAGGCTTTCCTTTTGAGACAACTGTTCATTCTGTGTCTTTTAATTGGGAAATGGAGTCTAGATGGACTCCATTGTGTTAAAATGGAAAGGTTTGTAGCTGTTACTGTCATTTAAGTTTTGGATGTTTTTTGTTTTGTTTTTGTTTTGTTTTTAATGTTAGAATCTTCCCTGCTCATCCTATGATTGTCTATACATATGCTGGTATTTGTTTTTGTCACCTTTCTCAGATTTACATTGATCTTTATTTCCACATGTAGAATTTATCTTATGTAGTTCTGATTTAGTGCTGATAAATTGATTTATTTTGGTTTATCTTATTTACTATTCTTTTATGAATGATAGCTTCACTGTGAAATGTATTCTGCGGTGGTAGTTGTTAATTTTCAATGACTGAAGTACATCATTCCAACCCCTCCTTGCTTTTAAGGTTTCTGTTGAGAGGTCTGCTGGTATTCTGATGACTGTCTTTGTTCTATGTGGTTATTCTTGTCACTCTATGTAATAGACAAGTTCATCTGGTCTTTTGGATATTTTAAAAGCTGAGATAGGCTTCTATTTTTCAGATTCAGGAAGTTTTCTGTTATTGCTTTGTTAGATATGTTTTCTATATCTTTTCCTATTGTGTCTTCTTGTTCAAGTATCTGCATTGTGCATAAATTTTTCCTTTTAATAGCTTTTCAAGTTCTTATAATTTTCCTTTCCTATTTCTTTGATCTTTTTACTCAGTATTTTTTTGCTACTTTTACTATGTGCTTAATGTCTCCTCTATCTTAAAGACCTGAAATTTCTATTTTACATGCTATAGTCTTCTAGACAGGCTTTCTATTTTTGTCATCTGTAGGACTTCAATTTGAGGTGTTTTTTTTCAAGATTTATTTCATGCCTAGAACTATTTATTGAACTCTCTTAGCTGTTTAACTGTATCCTGCTAGACATCATTTAAGCTGTTCATTTGTATTTGCTAGTCAGCCATATCGTTCTTTACATATATCTGTTTTTATTATGTAAATGTTTATATATTTCTAAATGTTATTTTTTAATTCACTGAACATTCTTACCATCATTCCTTTGAGATCCATGTATGGTGTTTCTTCTACTCGGCTATCATTCTGTCTTTTATTATGTGATTGATGGCCTCTGAGGATGTTTTATTATCTGATTTTCTTGCATTTCTTTTATTTCTGTGTGGAATTTCGATCATTTAATAACATTTTGTGGTTTGCATTTTTCTGGTATGAACCCTCTTATTCTCTGTATTCATTCACATAGTAATAAGTGTTAGCTGGATTGATGTGTGGTTTCTGGGTTTGGTATGGGGATATATAACAACTCCACTGAGGAGCAAAAGCCATACATTTTCTCCAAGTCCATTGTAACAACTGATATGTACATCTGTTTCTAAAACAGCTTGCCTTTTGGTAATCGGGTATGGTTGCAGATGCTGAATTGTTCCAGATTGGCCTTTTTCTCCAAGACAAGTATTTAAAACATACTTTAAATCCATCATCTCAATTTGTCAACCACTAATCTGTAAAATTAGTGAAAAATATGTGAGGTTTGAGTTTTGGAGAATAAGCTAAATAAAATACCTTTTAGTATTACCCATACGGTCTATTATGTGGGTGCTACATAGTGACTGAGTTACCTAAAAATATGTAAAGCGTAAATAATTTCAATGTAACACAGACAATATTTTCAGTTTAAATAGTATATTTTTTGTTCTGGCCTCTCCATACTTAGCTTCCAACTTTGCTGCCATTTCTTTTATTTGGAGCCTAGATAGATGTCTTACAACTTGTAACAATTTTTTAAATAAACTGCTAATTAATTCTAGGCAAAATAACTTATTTAATTTCAAAATGTAATTGCAGTAAAGCATAAATTCATTTAATCCTGTAAATACACTCTGTATCTGTCCCAAGTACAGTTTACCTAGAGAGCAATATTGATCTAAAGAGGTCATTCATACCTGGCTTCTGGCCTTTTACTTCTGATTCAGATAGATGAATGACTTTATTTTACTACCCCTGTGTAAGCCTTCCTAGATCTTTGAGTCCCCATTCTACTTTGTACTTTATTTTCTACCTAAAATTATTTTTCATTTAATAATATCCTCTCTTCCTTTCTAGGACATTTGTGCTGATACTTTGCCAGGAAGAAAGCTATTCTCTGTCAATGCTACATTAGTTTGTTGTTGTTGCTTACTTTTTTTAGTATTGGATTTTGAACTCAGGATCTAATACTTGTTGTGCTGATACTTTACCACTTTAGCCATACACATTCAGTATGGTTTGAAGATGAAGTCTCATGGACTTCCCTGACTGGGCAGGCTTTTGAACCATGACACTGTGGTTCTCAGCCTCTTGAATAGCTAGGAATATAGGCATGGAAGATCAGAGTCCAGTAGCACATTACATTTTATAATTGTCTTTTATATATAATTGCCTTTTTATTCATATTTTTATTGTCAAGGTGATGTACAGAGGGGTTACAGTTACATAAGTAAGACAATGAGTACATTTCTTAAACATTTTGCCCCTTTCCTCAATTTTCTCCTACTTTACTTCCTTTCCCATCCCCCCTAAGTTGTACACCATTGTAACAGGGAAAGGGGATGAGGATGATATATTCTCAATGCTCATATATTAGCTACATGGTAGACACCTTGGAAGACACATATTTATTTTTTATTGCATCTTTTTGGGGAAATATTAATATTTTGAAGTACTTTAAATAGTAGGGTTATGAATATTAGTATCTCTCTTGATAAAATATTTGCATGGAATGTGCCTTCATAACAACATGGCAATTTTTAAGAAGGTAGTTTATCCTAGCTATGAATCATGAGGTTTTTTTTTTTAATTCAAAGATTCTGAAACTGTGAATAAAGACCAATATTATGCACAAACTCTTTTTCTGTACTGTAGAATAAAAACCATCTTAAAACTAATCTGAAATTCTAAATAAAGTCATTACAATATTTTCTTTATAAACCATGATGGTATTCTGACTATGGAGTATTTGATGTTCAAAGCTGTGTGCTACCTTCATATCTCCAAACAACAATTACATAATTTCTTTTTTCCTTTTCCCAGGTAACCTCTGAAGAACTAAATAGCATAATTCACAATATAATGACGTGGGTTGTGGCTACAGTGACTAGTATATTATATCCAGCCATCACGAAGTATGAAGAAAGATTGAAACATAAGAGATACTCAGTGTCTGATGACTCTGACCTTTCTTCAGAGAGTTCAAGTTTCTGTAGTACATGCAGTGAAGAGTTCACATACCGACGCTTCACTCCCACTTCCGCTGTGGCCAAAACATTTCGAGAAGAGCCTGGTACACCTGTTGACATGTCAATGAAAAGACAGACTACACCTTTAAAACCTTCTTCTGACCTTGTAGAAAAAGCAGTTTTAGAGAAAACAGAACAAAGTGAAAGACAATCTATAACCTCCCAAATCGCATATAACAGAGCCAGCATTGTATCTCCAATACCAAATCTCAGGACTAGTAAATCTGATAGCCACCTTTTCACACCACTTGACACAGATACAAAGATATCTAAGGATGCTACCACAGAAACAGAAACCTTAGAGCCTTCAGTGACCAGCGATAAAAAAACAAAAGCTACAGATGAGATGAAGAACTTAAAGAATGTTTTTGTTAACTTTAAATGTCACTTGAAAGAGGAAACTCAAACGATCTTAGAGAGTGTCTTTCAGGAAATAATGTCGGACTTAACTCAGGCCATTCCCTCTCTTTCTTCTGTCACTGCTGAAGTTTATGTGGATCCTTCAGAGACTGATAAAGAAGAATTTCTCTCTGATGTTGATATATGCTCAGTAGCTTCTGAGATTGTGGAAAATATGCTTGAGAAGCTCGAGTCTGCTGTTGAGAAAAAGTGTTTTGAGATGTTTTCGCAAGAAGATTTGTCAATCAACATTGAAACAAGTTTATCCACGACTGGGGAATATTTCACATCAGTAAGTGGAAAACCTTCAGGAGAGTCTCTGGGCTTTAACTTAGAACCCATGCGTGACATTGCAGAGGATATGGTGCATGCGATTTTAGAAAAACTGTTGACTATTGCATCCTGTAAGAGAAGTGAACCTCCAAATGAAGACACAGTTAAACTTGTCGATCAGCAACAAAGGATGGACCCAACAGCTGTCAAGAAGAAATCCAGTTCTGAACCTGACATGGAAGCAAATTTAATTAAAGAAGAAGTACAAAATTTAATATCCAATATATTTTCCAGGCCCTCTTTGGTTGGTTATATAGAGGAAGCAATTAGTACTATACTAGGTTATGTACAAACTGAACTTAATAATGACAGACTTACAGCATCTGAAGAAACAGTAGTACTCCTTCAGTTACTCGATGATGTCCTAACTCAGCTTCATCCGGATCCAGTCAAAGCAGGAATTTGTCAAAGACGGAGACAACGCAGAATGAGGTATACTGACACTGAAGAGAAGTACAGACTTACTGGCTCTGGTTTATCTCAGTCTACTAGGTCCAAGAAACGACTCCCACTTGTTAATGTTCCAGGCATGGTCCTTTATTCTGACGATGAAAATGAAGAAATAGACAACATGGTAAAAAATGTACTTGAGTCGTCCTTCAAAGAAGAGGGAGTGAAATCACAAGAACCTATTCCTAATCCTTGGTTTGTTAAGGAAAATACTCGTTTTGAACACATGAAAAAGAGGAAACCATCTCCCAAGATTACCTCTGAATGCAAATATGCATTGGATGAATGGGGTAGTGATGAAGACATCTTAAAGGAAAAGCCATTTTTGAAAAAAGAGAATTCACTGTTCAGCCAAGATCAAAAGCATCAAATTGTAAAGACTTCAGAAAACATAGTTAAATGTATTTTAACAGACATGATCAAGGATCTACCTAGTGTTTCTCCTGATCACGTAGGTAATAAATTTAGCAAAAAAGTTTCAGTTTTTGTTTCAGAAGAATCTCAAGGACTGCCACATCAAGAAAGCACAGACAAGATAATTTCCGTGTCAGAAATTAATGAAGTAGCTGAAGAAATAATAGATGCTGTGTTAAATATACTTCATAAGTCATTAGTACACACCCCCACTACCACTTCATCCTCAGGTCGCCCAACTTTTCTGGATAGCTGTGATATTCCCCACAAAGTCAAGGTAACACCAAATAAGCAGTCGATAAACATATGGTTTGACAGTGAAAAGAAAATTAAATATTTATCTTCACTCAACACAGATTCTTCAAAGCCTTCTTGGTTAAGATCAGAAGAAAAGGAACCTCAACATGTAGGTGACATTACTGAAAATATCATTAATGCAATTTTTAATAGGTTAAGATCATTTGTTTGTCAAAAATTGCAAGTGAAACCCAAACCTTCACTTACTGAGAAATCTTCATTCAAATCTCAACTTATTACTTATACAACTAAAATAGTAAATGTTGTTTTACATTCTATCCAGAATGAACTGGAGTTGAGCAACGTCAAACACACCAAACCACATAAGAGTAAAAGAGTTTTTGCTGATTCTGATAAAACATTAGAATCACATGTAACAGATCTCAGTGATGATATCACAACAAGTCCATTGCTGAATTTGATTTATGAGATGCTGTCAAGTGGAAATGAAGATCAAAGAGGTGCCGCATTTGCTGTAGACAGGACAACGTCTGAAACTTCATATGACTCTGATGTTGATAAACAAAACATGTTGCCAAATATACAGGACAAAAAGGCTTTTCGTGAATATTTGGCTACTCCCTGTATGCGCCACAGTATCATAAGTGGAAAAGATATCAAAGAGAATGCTAATTTACAAGTGTTGGACAGAATTGGGGAAACACTCCATGAAATGGTAAGCAAACTCATGGATGCCCATCCTGAATCTAAAGCACCTTGTAGAAAACAAGAGAGAGAGAAGAAAAGAAAGGATCATCAAATGAGTGCTACATTGCAATCCAATATTCAACTCACTTCCAAAACCATTTTGGAATATATTGTTGCAAAATTATGTAGTGTTGACACAAATACTGAAGTTGCAAATTCAGGATGCAAGGCTGTTTTGGAATCTCTTGACATTGACAATTTATCATTTGGTTCAATTATTGAAGAAATGGCCAAGTGTACCAATGTAATATCTACCATACTTTCCAGCATGATGCAGGAGGATAATAAAGAGGTGATTAAAAGCAAAGTGAAAGATACTATTTTTGTGGAAACCACAACAAACATTTCCAAAGAACCGCACCCAACTAAACTGAAATCTGTTGCTTCAGATATTCTTACCACAGTTTTTGCTAAACTGGAAGGATTCACAAGTAGAAATTTGGAAACTCATGAGACTACTCATGATGACAAGAAAAAAGGCAATGACATGGACTCAAAATGTGGAAATGACAATTCTATGACAGATACACCTGAAGAATCATTGCACAGTGCTTTATATGCCCATGCAAAGAAGATATCAAGTGCTATTTTGAAAGCTGTTCAAACAGAAATAGGTGAGAAATCATCAGATTTAAAAACAGGTATAAACAAGCCACCTGAGACACAGACATTCATGAATTTGGTTAGTTTAATTTTAGAAGCAGTATCCTCAGATGAGTGTAATGAAACTGAAAGTAGAGACACTGAATCATATCACTACCATCCAGTTTATGGAAATTTTCTTCCTGGAGGAGCTGAATCAGATTCATTTTTCGACAATGATACCCATACAGAAGAAGAATACATTGGAGAAAGAGCAGCACTAAAAGAGAAAACTAAAACAGACTATCAACAACAGGTTCTAGAAAGAACCTTAAACAAAATTGAATTGAAGTTCAAGAAAGAACACAAGTCTCCAATTATTCCTATTATAAGAAATATTTTGAATGAAATTTTTCAAAACACTTTAATCAATCAACTGAATGAACTGTCTCTATCACCTTCTCATTTGAGTGCCATGCCTCACAGAGTTCAAGAGTCAACCACTCATGCATCTGACCCATTTGTGAATGAAATAATGGGTCTTTTAGTATCTGACACAGATGTATACATGGTGGCAAATGATGTTGTTAAAACTGTATTTCATAAACTTTGTTCTGCTGCCATCTTAGAAAGAAATATAAGCAAAAGGAGATGTGAGTTCATCGCTTTTTCAGCAAATGTTTCTTTTCATGAGCATAACTATGGAAGGAGCTCCTCTGTCACCATGTTGAACAGCAATCCAAGCACTCTTCAGTCTGGATTTAATGTTGACAGACAAACTACTGGAAATATAGGTGAAGATATTGTAAAATCAATATTAACAAATTTAGAAAGTTTTGCTACCTCCAAAGTAAATTCTCTCTTTTTTCCCCAAGTCAACTTCACAGTCCCAGTGACTTTACCCATTCAGCAGGATAAGACTACCTGGAGTAAAGCATTATCAGACAAGGACTCACAATCAAATGAGCAATTTTCTTGTTGTAAGGCAGATCATGGGAAGTCAGACTCATTGTGCCAACTCTCTTTGTCCAAATTAAATATTTATGCCACACAAGTAGCTAGGAAACTTTTACAAGGAATCAAGCATGAGTTAGATAAAGAGAGAGAAAGTTCTTCCTTGGATCAGAGCATTGTGGTTTCTGAAAATATTGCAAGTCAGGTTGTTGACACGGTGCTAGATATTGTATCATGTCAGAGTAAGTGTACAACACCCATTTCTGATAAAGAGAATGATAAAAATATACAAAAGAGTGTTACTGGAAAACTGTTAGAAAAGACTGAATATCGAAAAAGTCTTTGCTTTCAAATACAAGATACCACGGAAAGTATCTTGTACAACATTTATGAAAAACTTCATAATCAAAGTAATGTCACACCTGCTCTGAAATGTAGCACAGCTTTCAAACAGGCAGAAGAAAATACTGAATTGTTAATTGAAGATGAAAACAAGTTTATTCCTAAACTTTCAGTTTCCAAATCAGATGTCAGTTTGCTCTCTGGTGATATAGTAGATATTGTTCTCCATCACCTCAGTTCTGCTGTCACACTTGTTATAAATACAAAACTTCCTGATGCGCCAAGATTGACTTTCTGTGATATACTCCCAAAAGCAGAGGGACCACCATCTCTCTCTATAGAGTTAAAAACTAAAGAAAATTCAGAGCATTTTCTGTATTCCAGAAGTAAGGAATCAGCTACAGATGAGCAAAAAGACACCAAGAGAGTTGTTCTTAGCCCATGTGAAGAAAATGCTAACTTCATTACTGAAGCTATTTTTAATCGTTTAGAATCTTTTGCCACTGAAAGAATAGGTCTGTTAACTAATCGTGTTATGCAGCCTAAAGAAAAGTCACTTTTCAGCCAAGAATTAGAAAGCTGTAAAGAAGATGACAGCATTCTTCATGAGTCAAGCCAAGTAGAATCTGGTATTAATATGCAGAGAATATCAACACCCAAAAGCATTCTCAGACAAGGGCTTCCAGAGTCCACTTTTGCCAGTTACACAGTAAAACCTACATCCACAATTCATTTATCACAAGCTAACCTGATGGATGATGCTTACCTCCTTGCCAATGCCATTTTGAAGCTTATTAAAAGTGATTTTGACTTCAAAGTCCAAAGCATGAATCAATATCCAAACAGCATTTTATTTCAAGCAAATATTATGGTGAGTGAAACTGTTGAAAGTATCTTAAATATTTTGTGTAATAGGAGATCTACAAAGGAAAATCTTAAATTTTTACCATTAACTGTATCAAATGATATAGGTCTAGGACAAATAGCAAAGGACAGAGACAGCACTGTGTCAGTGTTCACCAATCCACTACATCAGAAACAAGTGGCATTGGAACTGGATAGCCAAAGAATTGTTTTGGAAGAGATATTTATGAGAAAGAAAGAATCAAGACAAAAAGAGAAAACTGAATTGCTCAGTGCAATCAAACAAATTTTGCATACATTGGATCAGCGAGCCATGGAAGTTATGGGACATTTGCCTGCATTAAATGAAGCCCCTCACATTTTATCTAACTCTAAAACATCCGATACAACACAAAAACATTCCCTTCAACCACATTTTTACAATGTAGCAAAAGATATAGTTGAGAATGTTCTGGGGGAAATGTACTCTCTTGTTATGACAACAGTATATAAAAATACTACAATTGCGGAAGAAGTAGAAATTCATGAAGACGATGTTTCACCAGTGATGTACACAGGTTTTAGAGACACTAAAGAAGCAAGAAAAAGAAGTAAATATGCAGAGAGTAGCAGTGCTTCTCTTTTAGAAGATACTTTTTTGCAATACTCACCTGTGCAAGTAGGAAAAGATTTAGTCCAAATGGTTTCCAATAAATTAACAAATTTTATCTCACGGCATGTGGAAGAGAGTTTATCCCCTGAAGCTTGCTCAAATGAGTTGCCACTTGTTAGACCACATAGTCATAAAGTTAGTCCGAAGGGCAGCCCTAAGCTAGGTTTTAAGACAAATTTAAAAGCAAAAGCGAAAGTCACCTCTTTGTCAAAATTTAAAACAAAAACCCACGTAGGACAAAGTGCTGGCAAGGTCAAAACCAAGATTAAGTTAGTTAACAGAGAGAAGACTCTGATAGATGGCCAATCCACGGCTGCAATGGGGCTGCCAAACATCCTACCAACAGGAGATGCCAAACACTTGCTGAAAACAAAATTGCCCACCTTGGAACTAATAATGTATGCCAAAGACATAATAAGTGTCATTTTGGAAACAATTCTAAAAGAACTTGAAAAGGTGACGGAAACTAGAGCAATGGCAAAAATGAAAACATTACCATCTGATCCAATCATGGAAGCAAGTAAAATAATTAACACAGTTTTGCAAGAATTGTATGCAACAAGTAACCACAGTTTGGCTTACCCAATAAAACTTTCTTCTCTGGATTCTCTCAAATGTTCACAGCATACAAGATCTTCTGCCAAAGCACAAGCATGTTTTTACTTAGAAAACGTTTCCTCACAACTAGAACAGATTTTTCCCAAGGAAGGTATATTAAAAAAAATGTTTGACAGATGGCAAATGGAAACGAATGATATGGAAAATGAAAAAGTTAAATTATTGATAATAGCTGAAAATATTTTGAAGAAAATTTCAGTAAGAGCAAAAGACTTAGAATATGCTATTTCACTTTTACATTTGCCAGTTCTTGAGGATTGTGCAATCAGATTGCATAATCAGGTCAAAGATAGTTCTACCAGAGCTGAAGATACCAAAACACAAATTAACAAATTTGGAAGGGAAATTGTGGAAATGCTATTTGAAAAATTACAGCTCTGCTTTTTGTCCCAGATGTCCAGTCAAGATAACAAAGAAACTCTAACAAATAGGAAAGAACACCTTACTGCTAACAGGAAACAGGGTTTTCCAAACAAGCAAGGCCCCGGCAGTTTACCAATCTGTTCCATGAAGATGAAAGACCAAATGTCCAGCAGCTCTAGACACCAAATTGTGGAAGAAATTGTCGAAAGGGTCTTAAACATGTTAGAGTCATTCGTGGACTTGCAATTTAAGCAATATGAGTTTTCTGATATCGTGAAAATGCCTATAGAAAATCTTTCTCAAATGCAACAGAGACTATTAGGTAAAAAACATTTGCCAAAATTACAACCACTGAAGAAGGTTTCTGATTTTTCTGACTCCAGTAGTATTATTTCCCAAGAAAACATACAGAATACCCTCCTCGAGGTTCATTTGTTTCATTCAGATTTACTTACATATGCTGTTGATATCGTCAGGGACATGCTTACTTTAATCAAGAATAAACTAGACAAAGAAATAAACCAAGTGGAACCCTCTTCAGTTAGCATATTGAAAGAGAATACTGTAGCCAGTGAGATCATTGGCACACTAATAGACCAATGTACTAACTTTCACAAGTCACTGATCAAAAACCTTCCAAACAAAAGTTTCTTTCCAAAAAATGAAAATGTTTACATTGTTAATCAGATTGAATTTGCATCTAAAATTAAAAAGCCTACATCAGCGCTACACAATGCTAGTTTGGAGGATAATCTTACACCAAGGAGTGGACCTGGTTTTGTGTTTAATTCAGAGGAAGATGCAGGGAAAAAATACGGACTTTCCTCAAGTTCACACTCATATGCCAGTTCCTACATACCGGAAACAATTAAAAGCTCAGAGTCAATGGAAAGGCCCAATTCAAAAACTATGGCATCACGTTTAACAAACAAATTACAGCACTACCACCTAAGGAATTCTAACTTTGGACATAGTGATACAGCTATGAACACAATCCCCGAAGGCAGTGTCTTAAAAAAGCTGTTTAAGAAAGTGAATGACTCCTCAGATGAAGCTTTTAGACAAGCCATGTCATTCATAGAGTTGGGAAAAGGTGGAAACCCAAAAGTGTTTCACTATGAGACTCTAAAACCAATGGTTGAACCAAATGAAATTCAGACAACAGTTTCTCCACTCAGAATCTGTTTAGCTGCAGAAAATATTGTCAATACTGTGTTGTCAAGCTCTGGTTTGCCATATCAACAGTACATGAATGACAATATGGAATCAATGAAACCATTTTTCATATCCAGAGGAAGAGGAAAAAAGGAAGAGAAAAACTTTCGTAGATTATGGTGTCAACCAATCAGCGGTATACCAGAAAAAGAAATTAACTACCCAGAAGCCTTGAGGAAAGATTGCTCTTTACTGCAAAAATGGCAAAAGAAGAACCCACCGATAAAAATAAAGACTTTGAAAGAAGTTGAAGTCATTGCTTTTGCTGATCATGAACTGGGTCCAAATGAAATTCATTTGGTAGCACGTCACGTCACTACATCTGTGGTCACACATTTGAAAAACTTCAAAACTAGAGGTAAGCATAACATCGCTTATTTTAAAAGCTAGTATAATTTGGGGAAAATGGAAAAAGATAATGTTTAAAAGATCTCTCTTTCAAGAATATGTATTCTCTGCTTTGCTGAACATAGCCTTAAAGGTGGGATGACTATTAATTTCTTTTTAGTCACTTATGCTGCCAAACAATGATTTTTAAAAAGTTAAGCATATCTAAAGTCTGAATATAAGGAGTAGGTTGTTTTGTATCTACATATTTGGAGATTGTTGCATGATTTTAAAGTGTTTTCAAAGTTCTTATCTCTGATTCCGCCATTACAATTTACACTAACCTTTCTGGAATTGCCACACTTCTGTTTTTGTTGGTTTTGTTTGTTTGTCAAGGTGATGTACAGAGGGGTTACAGCTACATAAATAAGGTAATAAGTACATTTCTTGTCAGTTATCCCTTCCCTCGTTTTTCTCCTCTCCCTTCCCTCTCCCCTACCACCAAGTTGTGGATCATTTCCAACATATTGTCTCGTGAATGTCACTGCTGCACTGGTTCCCCTCTCATCTTTTGTCTTACCAGTTTATTGTTCATCTTTCCCTCCCTAATTCAGATAAATGTATATACAATACATAGGTACAGGGATGGTAGGGGATAAACAAAGGAGGAGGTAACAACGCTTGAAAGGAAATGTACTCATTACCTTACTCATGCAACTGTAACCCCTCTGTACACTGTTTTTACAATAAAAAAAATTTTTTAAAGAAAAAAATACACAGGTACCAAAATCAAATACAGTGGCAAGAGAGGATATACCATAGGAGGAAGAACATACAAAAGGAACAAGGAATCACATAGTACATTAAAAACAACAACAAAAAAAAAAACCTCTTGTGTCCATGTCTTGGAGTTTATTTCACTTAGCATTGTCTTACATGATCATATGTACATAGTTTTTGAGCTATTCTCCTTATCTGCTAGGACTATCCTAGACATATACTAATTATTTCAAATGAGGGGAATTATGGAGCCTACGTTTCTTTGGGTCTGGCTTACTTCACTTAATATGATTTTTTTCCAAGTCTTTCCATTTCCTTATGAATGAGGGAATGTCATTTCTTCTGATGGAAGCATGGACTTTCGTTGTGTATATATAGCACATTTTCTTGATCCATTCATCTACTGAGGGATATTTGGGTTGGTTCCATATCTTAGCTATGGTGAAAATGCTGTGATAAGCATAGTTGTGCTGGTATCTAATTTAGTATGGCCTTCTTTGTGGTCATTTAGGTAAATGCCCAGAAGTGAGACTGCTGGATCATAGGAGAGCTCTAGGTGGAGTCTTTTGAGGAATCTCCATACTGCTTTCTAGAGTAATTGAACAAGTTTACACTCCCACCAACATTTAGCTACATGCCCTCCAGCATTTGTTGTTATTAGATCTTTTTATTATAGTCATTCTAACTGGGGTGAGGTGGAATCTCAAAGTTGTTTTGATTAGCATTTCTTTTATGGCCAGAGAAGTTGAGCATTTCTTCATGTGTCTCTTGGCCATTCTTATTTCCTCTTCAGAGAAGTCTCTGTTTAATCTTTAGCCAATTTATTAATGAGGCAGTTGTTTCTTTGAGGATTTGTTTTCAGGAGATTTAATTTTTTGAGTTCTAAGAATATTTTAGATATGAGGCCCTTGTCTGTTATATGACTAGTGAAAATCTTGTACCAGTCTGTGTGCTTTCCATTGAATTTTTCGTTATGTCCTTTGCCATGCAGAAGCTCTGCAGTTTCATGAAATCCCATTTGTCCAACCTTCCTTTGATTTGTTGTGTTTCTGGGTCTTTATTAAGAAAATTTTGGCATGTGCCAAGGAGTCCTAGAGTTTTTTCTATTCCTTCCTGTAATGTTTTGCTTTTACTTAGAGGTCCTTGATCCATTTGGAGTTGATTCTGGTGCAGGGTGATATATAAGGGTTTAACTTTAGTTTTCTATAGGTGTCTAACCAATTTGCCAGCACCATTTACTGAAGAGGCTGTCTTTCTTCCATCCTACTTTTTTGGCTTCCTTATTGAAGATTAGGTGGCTATAGGTCTGTGGGACCATTTCTAGCTCTTCAGTTCTTTTCCATTGGTCCTCAGGTCTGTTCTTGTACACCAGTATCTAGCTGTTTTGATTACTATGGCTTTGTAATAAAGTTAGAAGTTTGGTATTGATATTCTTCCAGCCCTGTTCTTGCTGCTAAGGATTGTTTTTGCCATTTGGGGTCTTTTATTGTTGCATATGAATTTTTTAATTGATTCTCCTTTTTCATTGAAGAATGAGGTTGGGATATTGATGGGTATTGCATTGAATTTGTAGATAGCCTTTGGCAGTATTGTCATTTTCACAACACTTCTGTTATCATCAAGGTAATAGATGATTACAGCTCCAAAATAGCTTTTTTTTTTGTCAGTCATGGGGCTTGAACTCTGGGCCTCGGTGCTGTGCCCCAGCTCTTCAGCTCAAGGCTAGCACTCTACCATGTGAGCCACAGTGTCACTTCCAGTTTTCTGGTGATTAATTGGAGATAAGAGTCTCATGAACTTTTCTGCCTGGGCTGACTTTGAACTGTGATCCTCAGATCTCAGCCTCTTGAGTAGCTAGAATTACAGGCATGCATCACTTAGCACCCAGCTCCATAATATCTTAAGAGTAACATGGCATGACATTAAACAATTTAACTAGTGTGTTTTAAAATAATTATAGGAAATTATTAAATATTCTGACAAAATATTTTAAAATATTTAAATCAGGCCTCCAGATATCACTGTAGATGTTTTAGGCTTGGAAAAGTAAGCCTGGAAAACACTTCTCTGCACAAAGATTGTCAGCTTCTTAGAATCTATTACCATTTAAGCAGGATCAACCTTGACAAATGACTATTTGAATTGGAAGAGAGATGATTACTTCCACACAAGAAACATGTATTTGAGGAAAATCCAACTTCTTTATTAGGTTTCTCTTTCCTTTTTCCAGATGTTCCACTGGAAAAATTTACTTGTGCATACCAATATACTGACATTTCCATATTTTCTTAATCCATGCCTAAAATAGTAATATTTTCTCTTTTAAGTTTCCACTGAAGAGAAGATATCCATTGTTTCCACACTGTCAAGGAAAAAATATGAATCAAGACATTCTCCAAGAAGCATATTCAATAATACTTCAATTAATCAATTTTGTGAATACCTCACTGAATCAGTCATTTGCAATTTAATATCAAGCATTTCTGATGGCACCAAAGAGTGCAAGGGAAAAAGCAACACATGGGAAATCCAAGAAGCAGCATTTAACACAATTATTTCAATTCATTCTCAAGTGCTTGAGACTAGGTCTCTTTGTATTGGAGATCTTGCTTTAAGTATTGCTGAAATCATTATTGACATTCTTTCTAGTGGTAACATTATAGAAGCTGATAGTGCACCACAAAAGTTTTCCATGAAAATCAAATACATCTACCGTCCAGGAGTAACTTCTTCTGATTTTGATAATTTCTTTCAGGATCTCTTAGCAGGTGTGATTCATGTAATGTCCAGAGAAATAGGAACAAATCACCACTTTGGAAATAATGCAAGAAACAAATCATTTTCAGTAGTTAGAAGCAATAGTATGTCCATTTGTAACAAAAGTAATACCACTGACAGTCAAACAGGCACCAAAGAACGAGAATCATATACTTATCAAATTGATCAACTTGTTCAAAAAAATAAATTAAATTATCTAGCACATAGGTTAGACAGCCTGATTGGTAGCCTAAAATCTCCTGAATCCAAAGAGGTAGTCAATAAAGTCTTTGATATTGTATTAGATTTATTTTTACCAGATGAAAACCCTGGTAGGGATATGGACTCTGGTAAAATAGCAAAGAGTTGTTTCTCCTCTTCAAGTATTCAAAGTAATAGAATACTTAAGAATAACCTAGGGCTCTCCCCTAAGTCAGTTTTTCTTCTCAACATTGTGTGTGAGAAGCTAATTAGAACACTTCTGGAGAAATACACAGGTACCTTCTCTCTTGAGAATAGGTCTTCTAGTGAAACATCAGCAGAAGGTCAACTTTTAAAAATACTTCAAAGTATGGAAGATGGAGATTTTGACTATCTTAGGAGATCAGTGGACTGTGAACAATTTCAAGGAAATTACATGTCAGATCTTTTGGAAAATATGGCAGAAATTGACCAAGATTTATTGTCATCAGATTGTATACTTACATTTATTTCCCACAGCTTAGTTAAGTCATTGATGGAGAAATTATCTAACAGTTTAGTACAAGCTCCTAAAAGCTCACGTTTTGAAAGCAAATATTTAAACTATGAAACGAGAGAAATGCAGTCCAAAAGGCCAGAGTTTATAGAATTAGAACACGTTAAGGGCCCTTTTGGAATCAGGACTTGTGACAGCAATCCTTCCGCCAGATCCTTAAATTCCAGTATGGCTAGCTCTAAAATCAAAGTACCATGTGGCAAGAAAGCTGCAGTAAAACCTTTTTGGTCACATTGTGGCAAACAAGAAACAAAGGAAATGAATACAATGCCCACTCCTCACAAGCTATACCAAAGAAGCACCAACACAGGTGTTTATTCAGCTACATTTTTGGAGGAAATCATTTCACAATTGTTTTTTAAACTCTCAACCTCATTGTGGAGAAAAAATAGAGGCATCATGGAAGCCCGGCTTAATATGGTAAACACATTATTTGTGAACAGTGTAGTAAATGAGTTCAATAATGCACATATCACTTTTCTACGGAATGCTGAAGAAAAGCTTTGTTTTCCACCAGTCCATACAGAAATTATTAGTAAAATTGTTGATTCAGTCCACTGTGATGTTTTACAACTGTATCAGTTAGAAGCCACTTACAATAATAATCTGACATGTGACAATACTCCAGTATCTGAACAAATATTCAATAGCCTACTGTTAGAGATTTTGGACTACCAACTCCCATCAAGAATCAGGAGAAGGTTCAGGCCTTGTTCCTATTACCCTCTCAATGCTGAAATCATACTTCGAAAACTTCAAAATAACCTATCAACATTTGTTTCCCAAGCCAGGTCTTCAGAAGTCTATAGCACTATGTTACCACACTCATTTTTAGAAGCTGTCATCAGAAAACTTTTGTCTCAGCTACTTCCTCCATCAATTTTATCATCTTTTTTGGAGAAAAAATATTTACAACATTCAGATTTTAATGAAATGTCTACCTACATAATAAATAAGGTTATGTCAGCCATTTCAAAACATAAAATCTGTTTAACTGTCTATGATAACCACAATCTATATACGAGAGAAAACCTTCAAAAGATGGTGGATTCTGTTTATAGTAATATTTTGCAAATGTCTGACTCTCTTGCTTCAGTACAGAAAAGTATAGTCAGCCGAAATCCAATTATGATTGATCAAATAGCCAGTTTCATTATCCAAGAGATAATTGAATGTCATCTCCAACCATTTTTGTGTGGAGAGGTTCTCTCTCGCTCAATGACACCACTAGATGCAGTATCTGATATGGTTAAGCAAGTTCTCAGTGAAGTCATAGAAAGCCATATGTCCCAGAGCTCATCCAACTGTAGTATTTACCCTAAAAAATTTGTAGGAGAAATTGTTTCCCGGCTCTTGTCTAAGATTTTTAACCCAAAGCTTAGCAGTGAAGTTGAGCTGGAAAACATAACCAGAAAAATTGTAAATACGGTGCATAACCATTTTGACAAAGCTAAAACTCATATTCCATGTAATGTCAAGGCACAATATTTTCCTGATAATGATACAGATATTGTGGATGAACTTGTCACTTCAGTTTATAGGAATGTCTTACAGCAGCATGGTTTCAATCCTGATATTGATGCAGAGTCTGAAAGTAGTGACATTTTTGTAGAAAATGTTAGCAAATTAATTATAAAAGCTCTTTCAAACTATCTTCTTCATCCTTTGTTTTCCGGTGATTTGTCAGCTTCTTCCTATTCTAACTCAGTGGCTGAGAATATTGTTCATGATATCCTTAGTAACTTCAGTATAACTAGCAAATCAAACCACAGTTTACCTCCATATAATACTTTACTGCCATACACATTTTTAGAAGATATGATTGAAACCTTATTATCAAGATTCTTCCCTTTTGAATCTAACATAGTACCAACCATGGAAAGTGCAAAGGATAAATCAAGAATGAATTATAATGAAATGGCTTCCAACCTAATCAGTGATATTAGGATGAAAATTTCCCAACATGAGATTGGTTTTTCAAAAGATGAAGAAGATACCAAACTTACTTATTCAGAAAATGAAGTTCAACATCTTGTGGACTCGGTATTCAAAAATATTTTACAGGGCTCTGAGTCTCAGGAATCACTACAGCAAAGTATTGCAAGCAGTAATGATGTCCTTATTGATAAAATGGCGGGTTTTATCATAAAATATATCTGTGAACAGCATCTCCAGCCATTTTTGGACAGAAAGTCATTAGCTTCTCCCTCATATACCTACAGTTATGATGAAGAAAGACAAAAGTCACTTTATGCCAGTGTTTATTCCTCAACTCTCTTGGAAGACGTGGTCTCTGGGGTTTTAAGCAAAATATTTCATAGGGTAGTAGGCATTGTGCAATTGCAAACCATAAAAAATTCAGATGATGAACTATTTGATAAAGCAGAAAAACTCATATGTTTGGTAATAGAGGAATTCTCAAATGCCAAAGTTAGCGTTGTAGATAATGCAGAAGAACAGTTGTGTTTGCCTTCAGTGGAGAGAGATGTGGTCAGAAATATCATTGACAGGGTATACAGCAATGTTTTAGAAGAACATGAAGTGGAAATTATATCTGATGAAGATTTTCTAAATAATACAAAGTCATTGGCTGCAAAGATAACTAAACTCATCCTGGCTGAAATTATTGATTTCCAGATTCACCCAAATCTAATAGAAAATCTGCCTTTTAAGTCATATTCCAAACTCAGCAAAAATGTTTTGATAAACAGAGTCCAATATGATATTACTAAGTCAAGGTTCCGGAGACAGGCTTCAACAATCTATACTACTATGTTATCACATATGCATTTGGAAAAAATAGTCACCCAACTTGTGTCTCAAATTAGTACATTCGCTCCCAGTTCAGAACTTGCACATACTTCTAAATCAGACTTAAATAATACAGTCGTGGAACTGATAAATGAGATCATGTCAATAATTTCAAAACATGCAATATGTATTACTAAACATGGGAATGGAAAACAAAGTATGATTTCAGAAAGAGATATACAGTCTATGGTTGATTCGATTTATGCTGATCTTTCTCAGTCAGATCTCTACCGGTCTCTCACAAGAGACAGAAAAGGTATAAGTAGTATACCTGTTTCAAAAATAGCAAGTTTCATCATAAAAGAAATATTTAACCATCATCTACAGTCATTTTTATCTGGAGATAAAACTCTCCTTTCAGCTTCAGTGGGTCAAACTCCCAAACAAAAAGTAGTAGAGATAAAAAAGAGAGATTTGTCTTTCATTGTGAATTCAGCTGTCTTTTTGGAGGAAGTAATTTCTGGGGTTTTGTGCAAGATTCTTCACTCATTTGTATGTAACGTCTTGCCTGACACAAATCCAGAGAGAGTAGAAGCCAAAATAACTGATATCGTTACAACATTAGTAAAATCCGTAGTTGTAGAGTTCATTGCATCAGAGATCTTGGTTGCAGATGACTTGGATAAAGATCTGTGTGTCTCAGAGGAATATAAAGACATGGTTGAAAAAACAGTCAACTCCGTTTATGAAAAAGTGTTAGATGAATATAAATCACTGGTTAAAGTATATGAGGTGATCCAAAGTGATGCTACCTGCCTTGGAAGGAAGATATATCATTTTCTACTGGAGGAAATTTATGACTATCATGTGCAGTCGTTAGTTTCAGGAGAATTAATGACTTCTTCCTACACTTCACCTCGAGCTGATAACATCATCAGAAATGTACTTAGCAAAATTTTGACAGATAACAATGCCCTACCATCCTGTGTTACTGTGTTTCCTCGCTGTCTTCTAGAGGATATGGTTGACAAGCTTCTAGTGCAAATCTTCCCTTCAAGTGACACAGCTCATGAAGTACAGAATAAAGCAGACACACCTGATGATGAATTTTCACATGCAGCTTCAAAATTGACTGAGGATATTATAAAAGAAATTTTTGAACATGAGATCCGACTTGCCACAGCAGAGGAGAATGCAGAAAGTATGCAACTAGGAGCCATTGAGAGTTTTGTTGACTCTATATGTAGTGATATTTTGAAAAAATCTGAATTCCAAGCTGAAGTAAAGAAGGATTCAGACAAAAAAAGAGGATCTTTTCTTAGTAAAATGGCTGGTTTCATTATGAGAGGAATCATGGATCACCACTTGCAACCATTTTTATATGAGAAAGAACCATCTTCCAAGGAGGTACCTGCTCATCACCAGCCCACTGCAGTTAAAAAATCTAAGAAAGAAAAGACACAGCCTTCTCTGTTTTCAGCTACATTTTTAGAAGATGTAATTGTTGACCTAGTTCACAAATTTTGTTCTTTCCCAGCTCTTCCTGAAAGTTCTAAGAAAAAGGAGATGCCAGAGGCAGATATTGTAGGGATGGCGATCAAGTTTGCAAACTCCCTCATTGGAGAATTTAGGAAAAGTGAAATTAAAGTTTTACCAAATGCTGAAGAAATATTTTCTTTTCCACCAATAGATAAAGAGACAATTGATACAATATCTAACTTTGTGTATGATCAGTTCATAGGGAAATTGAGCTCTAAGGACCTTCAGAAAGATAATGGTAACATTGTTATAGAAATGATTGCTGGTTTAGCAAAGAAGGCAATATCTGCTTTCAAGATTCAACCATTATTCTCAGGAGACTGGACTTCAACCTTCTTTTCATTTCTAGATCCAGATAACATCACTCAAAGGGTTCAGCTGCTACCACAAAGCACATTTACACAGATAACTAGATATGTAAAAGGGAAACAGCGTCCTTCAAATCAACTGCATAAACAAAGTTCTCTAATCTTCGATTCAAAAAAAAGGGTGCACAGTTTAGAAACCATTACAGATGCAATGCATAGTAAGAAAATTTTTGACACTAAAGAAGCCTCAGAGAAGAAAGTAGACATCCCAGATCCAATACTTAGCTCTTTAGCTGCCATTATGAAAAGCAATGTGATTAACCTGTCAGGGCCAGCTACAGGTGTTGTGAATAAAAAGGATGGAAGGAAACGGGAAATTTCCATCCAAAAGAATAATGAGCCTGTGTCAAATATTATTTCTACAACTACAAACAAGAAAATGCAGGAGACTCAGGAGCATTTGAGTGAAATTGAAAAGACAAAATCAGCTCCACAACATGCACAGAGTCAGGCTGACGAGATACAGCAACATTATTCAGGAGCAACTATTGACACAGACTATAAGGAGAAAACACAAAGGTCAGATTTTGAAGTAGACATTGAAAAGAAGATTGGCAGTCCTGGAAGCTCAATAAAACTAGATGGCAAGACCACTGAATTACATTATTCAAAGAAGATAATTGAGCCCAAAACGAGAAATGTGGGGACTACCACAGAGAAAACTGCAAAAATAACTGAAAAGGCAAGCAAAAAGGAAAGAAGAAACTTTCAGGGTCAAACAGGTATGGATGAGGCACCATATGCAGATTATGGAAGTGTTCAAAATGTCATTGAAAACATTTATGACAATGTTTTACAAATGTCCTTCCCTGAAGAACAATTCGAAATTACAAAACTCAAATGTAAAACAAGCTCCCTAGGGGATAAACCTGGCAGAGATTTGGCATGGTCTGGCTCCGTTATAACAATGGACTTATCCCCCTCAAGCCATCAAAAAATCCCTGACAATGAGAAAGAAAGTACAGAGAAAGGGAATGAGGAAAAGAAAGAAAAAGAGAAAGTAAGTGAGAAAGAAGTACAACGTAAGCTGAGTAATGAACTAGACGCCCAAGACAATAAACCTGGAGTTTTTCCTGCTAAATTTCTAGAAGACGTTGTTGTTGAATTGGTTAACAAATTAATCTTCTCTTCCTCACCCAAAGCACAAGTAAGTGATAAGTATCCAGATGTTAATAACAAGCAACATCAGGCTTCTCTCTATGACATAGCTTTAAAACTTGTTGATTCCCTGTTGAAGGAGTTTTCAGATGCACAGATTAAGGTGTTTAGGCCTGACAAAGAAAAAGAGCTTTTCTCATGTGCAAGCAAAGAACATTTGACTGATGTACTACCTCCAAAACATAAAGAACCAACAAAAGAAGAATCTAGCTTTGAGATGAAAATGGAGGGTAAAATGCCACAGACGTATAAATTGACTCCAAAATCCTCTTCAGATATGGTATCTGTTGTAGATAAGGTACCAGAAATGGATAAAACATTAGTTAACAAAGTTGTTCACTCAACACTTTGCAGTGTTTTGAAGGAACATAGTTCTCAAGAATCTATTTGTGAGGATATCAATCATAATGGGGAACATTTTGCTCAAAAACTAACTAGTTCAGTGATAAATGAAATTTTTCAGCAGCAACTTAACTTCCTATTTGGTGATGGCATTCCAATTTCAGCATTTTTGCCTCTGGAATCTAAAGAGATTGTCAGAAAGATCCAAAGAGTGGCTCAGACTGCCAGTAAAGAATGTCAGACTTCATCGCCATATACCATACTGTTACCCTACAAATTTTTAGAGGATGTGATTTCTGCTCTTCTATTTAAAATCTTCCCCCAAATACCTGACACTAGCACCAGAGAAATCTCTGAGGACAATGCATACACAGAACTCGAATTTTGTCAAATGAAGTTAGTAAGTACAATTGCAGAACAGATTGCCAAAGATGAAGATATGATTATACAGTATGTCGAGTCATTACATCCCAATGATGATGAGATTACTCAATTAGTGGCACAGTCCATTTATAATAACCTTTTGCCTCAATTTGGATCAGACGAGATCATAAAGAATTGCATCACCAGTGGATGTAGGCTCCTTTCAGACTCCATAGTCGAATTAGTTGTACGGGAAGTGGCTGGCAATCAGTTGCAGAACTATTTCTCTGGAGAGTTAACTCCCCATCAGTGCGCAGAAGTTGACAGTGTTGTTGAAAATATCCTTGAAAATGTCATCCGAACTGTCCCACCTCCACCCCCACGGGCTCACAAGCTCTCTCGTAATGTAATAGAAGAAATTGCAGTAAACTTTTTATCAAAGCTTTTTGCCATGTTTCCAAAAGGGGATAAGGAAATAACCAAATCTCTAGAAATGGAAATGGAAAAAATGACCTCAAAAATATTAAATTCATTCCAAGAATTTATCTGCAAAAGTAAGATCAAATTTGCACAACCAGATAAGGAATCACCTGTACCTTTAGCTGACAAAGCAATTATTGAAAAAGTAGTTAATGCTGTTTATACCAATGTCTTAAAACACTCTGGCTCTCCTACTTCTATATTTAAAGACTTGCTGGGGAAGGGCAATGCCCTTTCTGATATAATAGGTTGTTTAATGGTGAAGGAAATCTCTAATTCTGAATTTCAGCCTCAGGAAGAGGAAGAAGTATCAAATACAGAGTTAGTTCTGGAAGCTGTCAAAATAGTAGAAAAAGTAGTCAAAATTATCAATGAACTGAAATCCCAGAAGTCCTCATCCAGTAAACATTCTCTGTTAGATGGCCAGATTTTAGAAGAAGCATTGGCCCTGTTCTTGGCTAAACTACAAGTACTACCAAATGCTGAAAGCAAACATGCAAGCATCTTATCAAAGCCTGATTTAAACAAAATTGCAACTCAACTGACAAAATCTGTATCAACGGAAATTGACAGAACTAATATTAGCCTTGTAACTGCCTATCCTGGGGAGCATTGTTTAACGCCACATGATATGGAAATGGTTACTCAGGTTATTGATTCAATATATAGTAACATATTACAACAATCTGGAACCCTTAAAGAGCTTTATGATATGAGACGTGCAAATACAGCCTTTCCTAAAAAGGTGGCAAGCCTGATTATCGATGAGGTCTTAAAAGTTCAATTAGACAGTGTTCTCTCAAGTAATTCTGCCCCCTTTGGAGAGCTAGACATCAGAAGGATTGTTAAAAAGGCACAAAATCACATTGCAAGTGTGAACTCTGACTCTGATAAAGAACAACAGTCAGATGAAGAAACATTTGGAGACTCTTTACCAATTAAAATAGTTCCATATATCAGGGAAAAACCCATCAAAATTGATCCAAACATTGTTGCACAACACTTAGCAGTACTCTCCATAAAAACCCAACCAATTGAACAACTTCAGATGGACTGTTTAAAGAGAACTGGACATAGTATAGCAGAACTGAGAAAAGCATCAATAACTGGGAGAAATCACTCCTCCCTCTCATCTAATTTAGAAGAGAGGATAAAAGAAAGACGGACCTCACTGGATAAGACCGGACGACTGGATGTAGCACCTTGTGAGGTAAGTGCAAATGCAATAGTGAAGATCAAGTGGTGATTGCCTTCCTCAAATAAGCGCATGGGAAAGCGTGTTTGTTGTTTTTGCCTTTGCCAACAGAGCTTGGTTGCCTCATTTCATTCAAGCCCACATATGAACTACAAGGACCTCCTGTGTCAATTCAGTAATTCATTCTAAAGGTCTCAAGCTAGGATTTTAGATAATTTACTTCAATTTCTCCCTTTTTTTGAATAATGAATATATATATATACATATATATATATGTATATGTGTGTGTGTGTGTGTGTGTGTGTGTGTGTGTGTTTGTGTGTGTAGAGAGAGACAGAAAGACAGACAGACAGACAGATATAAGTACAACTATATCCCTAACAATTACACCAGGCCTAATGAAGGTACTATCATTTGAAGATTTAAAAGAAATGCAATCATGTGTAATTCCTACACTTCTAGGATTCCTTTTGCTCTTCATTAGAGCCATCTAAACGTATTCAAAAAGGCTAATTAGTAGAACACCAGGACAAGTGAACTTGCCTAAAATAGTTTTAATTCTCAAATTTAAGATTCCATAGTAATTCTTTCTTTTAGCAATATTCTTCATCAGGCATTAAACTACAAACTACATAGGTTACAGGTGTTCTTAAATTTTCACTTAAACCTTGATTTTTGTCATTTAGTCTCTGCTTTCAAAATGAGCACATTTTCTTTTTAATGCTTTGTTCTAAACCCAGGCACCTTAGGGCTCCTATTTTCATCTGGTATAGGCAGAAAATTCTGTCATGTAGCCAACATATTAAACTGAGACTCTGAAGTATGAAAGAATTAAAGGCAACCATAAATAAACACAACAGAATTGGCTATGTCCACTTAGTAATTCAGTCTGTATCCTGGAGAGTGAGTAAAGTTTTATAGAACTCTAGTGTTTGGAGCATTAACATGGAGGGAATTTTTTTTCCAGGACTATTCTGCAATCCATTGAATTAAGTCTCAAAGCTTATGATTAAGTCCACAGTACTTTAAGTTATCAAATTCAAATACTGATTATCATAGACTGATACTCCTGTAAACCTTTTCATCCTAATTGTTTTGGAATACCATGAGCTCTTTTAGTTAGTATAAAATGTTCCCTTCCCTCTGAATTCTCATTACACTACACTGTTTCCTGGTATTTATTTGTAGATAAGTAATCCATTGAGAGTAAAACTTGTAAAAACTGACTAGACAGTAATGCCAGTTTTTAACTTTCAGTTACCTACTCTCTCTACATAGATCACTTATATGCTGCAGAAAGAATTAGGCAGTTAGGTACACCAAAACATATTATCTGTGCCCTTTTAAATTAGAAAGAAGGACATCCTAAGAGCTCTTTTTTTTAAAGCAGTAGTCATGAGCCAATCTGAGGATGAGTTAGAGTTACCTTCTACAAGCAACAGAGAATATAAAGAACAGTAGATCAGGCCAGATATGGAGACACGTGGCTCTACATCAAGCTTAATTCTCCACCATCTACTGTCAGTTCACCATATTATTATTATGTGTTAATATGAATATTAATACATAGGCAAAAACAGATTCTCAAATTAAATATCATGATGTGAGGATTTTCTTATCCAATCCAAGATACTTATTTTGGTTTTATGAAGTTGCTTTAAATAGTTTATTTTCATATAAACAGTCAGACTCAAAGGTTAACTTGCAAAGTTACAGAGGAAGATTGAATCTAAGATGATTATATAATTAAGTGGTATGTAGCATGGTCAAAAGCTAAGGAAATGGGTTAATTCTTTTTAGTTATCTTTTAAAATATATTTTGTTCATATGCTAGTATTGGGGCTTCAATGCAGGGTGACAGGATTGGGATTTTTGCTGAAGACTATGGCTCTATTACTTGAGGCACAGCTTGACTTCTAGTTTTTTGCTAGTTAAAGATACGTTTGTTTCAGATCTGTCTTCCCAAGCTGGCTTCAAATATCAGTTTTTCCTTTCTCAGTCTCTTGTGTTGCTATGATTAGAGTTAGGAGACTCTGGAACTCAGTTTTTAAAAATCTCTCTTTTCACCAGGAAGGTGAAAAAATAGGATATATATATATATATATATATATATATATATATATATATGGAAAATATAGAGTAAAAGTCCAAAGACTAAAATTTTCCCCATAACCTCTCTCTCTCTCTCTCTCTCTCTCTCTCTCTCTCTACACACACACACACACACACACACACACACACTCTCTCTCTCTCTCTCTCTCTCTCTCTCCTCTTTTGTCAGTCATGGGGCCTGAACTCTGGGCCAGGGCACTATTCCTCAGCTCAGCTCAAGGCTAGCTCCCTACCACTTGAGCCACAGCACCACTTCTGGCTTTTTTCTGCTTATGAGGTGTTGAGGAATCGAACCCAGGGTCTCATGCATGCAAAGCAAGCACTCTACCACTGAGCCAATTTCCCAGCCCCCTCCTCATATCTTTTAAAGTAGACATTAGATGATTGTCTGCTTTCTTTAAAATACATGCATTTACATTTCTCTATGATTTTCTGCCTAAGATTAAAAACAGTTGTCTATTTTTTCATGAAACCTTCAAAAGAAATGATGAAAAATGATAGCAACAAAATTATTTTTAACAAAATGCAAAATTTAAGAAAGAAAATTCATGTTAGACATATTTTAGACTAAGAGTAGATAAATGTGAATTCAATGTAAAGGAAATAATAACACTAGAAACTATTATCATTTTCATGTGGTTCATCCTGTTGCAATACTATTTTACTGAAAAGCAGCATCTGAAGATATTAAAATAAAAATAAAATAACCATATTAAAAAGAATTAGAGGAGTAATGATTAAAACTTATTTTTGTTGTTTTTGTGCTTTCAATTTCAGGCTGTTTGCAGAAATTCATTTATGAATATGAACAAGCCTGATATCACCAAGATAGAGCTTTTAAAAGATGTTCGAAGCAAAAAAGATCTGATCATTCGGTTAGTAGCTCATGATATTAATCAAGTATCTTCAGAAACAAGCGGAGACGATGAAATAGGTTCTGATGAAGAAGAATTGGTTTTAAGAGAGTTTGTTGCCGAAGAGGGTTTAAGAAAAATATCTGAAGCTCAAGAAAGCCAAGTCCTGAAGTCAGAAGAAAGCAATGTAGCATCACCTAAGTCAACAATAAGTGCAAAGAGCCTGAGGAAGCTTTTATCGCTAAGCAATTGTTGTCAGTCTGAAAGTAGTGTGGCCATCAGAAAGACTGAAGCACCCATAAGGCGGGCTGTGGAAACTGATGAAAGAGGTGTTAAGAGATCTGTTGGTATGCTTGACATGGTGTCTTCCAAAAGCTTGGCTGAAGCTAACCTTCCTCGAGGGAAAAAAATGCACCACAAGGTGAGTAAGAAAAATGATTGTGAGAGACTGAAAAAGGTAGAGAACTTCACAGATTCTGTGCTAGAAGGTTCAGAACAGCATCCTACTAAAACTATAGTTACTCACAATAACAAGGCAAGTAATTAATAGATAATAGCACTGGGTTGAGAAATCCGGTAACAGAAACCTAGATTAACTAGCTAGCAAACAAAAAGAGGAGATGGAAATAGTTAAGAGAAAGGAATAAACCAGAAATTATTGTTTCACATACATTCTAGTCTTATTATATCTAAATTAAGTTTGAAAATTACCATTAGGCATTTCTTTCAGGGAGATGCATGCCGGTAGGATGGGACTAGAAGCCTTGAGAGAAGTCTGGTTGACAGGTTTCATAGAAAAGCAGATCATTGCCTAGAAGGTGTGGGACTCTGGGTTTAACCCATAGCACTGAAAGGAAAAATCCAAGTTTGAATGTTGACTCACTCATTAGCTATGTGATCTCTTTAGACAAATATTTAACTTTCTTCTTTAGAAAGTTTTAGCAAATTTGCCCAAACTTAACAGGTTCATTGAAAATATGCTTACTATCACAAGTACATTGAGCCAGTATACCCTACTATCATCCTGGTGACTACTTCCTGTTACTGCTTTCAAATGCTGATTCTCAATATTTTACTGTCAAAAAATGTTTACTATATCGGTCTGGGGAGAATTTATCGTGTAGGATTTCCTAATGAGACCATTCTCTTGAGTCATAAATTTGCAGCAGTTCCCAAGTTATCAAAAAAGAAACCTAAAATGAACCATGAGATGTGAACAGATAACTTTAGTCAATTTAGAAGCACATGATCTTCCAAGAAGAGATTATTGTATGTGTTAAGATGAGTAACTTGTGTTAAGATGAGTAACCTCAATACCATAGAACACCTTCACTGAGTCATTCTAATATTGGAAGAGACATTTTAATTACAGCTATAGGGCTTATCTTTTAAGTAAGGTAAGTTAAGATTTAGGTCTAAAATTTTTCTCAATAAGGTATATATAAGACAAAAAAAAGGTCCAGTAAGATGTCAAACTCTATTTTGTATATCACCTGATTTGCATTTTTTTCAGAAAGAAGAATTAATCCCAATTAATGAACCACCACATTACCTAATACACAGAATTATGAGTTCATCTTCATACAATCAAGAAGATCTTATTTCATCTGCCAGGTACATTCAATTAATGTAATATTAATATAGAAATCTTCCATTGCTATAGGATATATAACAAGTACAGAACATCTGGGAGAGCAGTCATTGGCCAAGTATTCAATTTTAGACCTCCTTATTCCCTTCTTTCATTCTCTCCCCACTGTGGAAAAGTCCTCGTATTCTCTTCCTTCCCACTTTCTCCTTTCTAGTGACCTAACCTCTATATTATTGAGATCTGCTTTTATATGTATTCATATCTTGGATCAAGAGCTTGCTAGTATGTTGAGGCAGTTTTTTAATCTGTGAAATAGCCATTGGGTCAAAATTAGAATGTATATAATCGGAACAAAAGGATCTCTGCTCATCTCTCAAGTAAGTGAACCATTTCAGTGTATAGCATTACTATAAAAATAATACAAAGATAAAAGGAAAAATGTAAGATGAAACATCTAGAAAACAATTGTTGGATATGGACCATTAACAATGGGTACCTTTACATGACAGAAAGAGAAAACATGGAGCAGAGTGTCCTGTAGACTCAAAATCTGATCAACAACTCTAAAAACACCCAGCATTTTGCAAAACTAAAAACAAAATTGTGACCTGGAAAAGATGACTTTCCTGTATGGGGAAGAACTGAGAACACAGAGGAAAGCTTAGTTTTACTTCCTCCCCCATTTAACACAATGGGATGGTGTTGATATGAATGTGACACCACTTTGGAGTACCTGTCTAGCCTCATATTGGATATTTCTTTATACAAAATTATTTTAATATAAATAGTATTAATGCCAGCAACTCTATTATTTGCATAAGTAAAGGAGAGGAAAGGGATACAGGTAATAACTCAATACAAATAAATTTAGAATAAGATGGTATCAGGAAGTTCTAAGGTATTGCTTTTCAGTGAAAATAAAAAACAACTACAAAGTCACTAAGACAATTTTCTAACTGTATGGAAGCCTATCAAATATTCACAACAAATATTTAAACACTTAATCAAGAAAGGGCAACCCTGAAAATAGTAGAGAAAACCCCTATGGGATTCTACTTATTCTTACCAAACCTCTTGTCACCATAGCACAATGTAGTTAGGAGGAAGCAGCCACTACCTTATGACCCACTCCCCCAGAAGGCACTAGTTTACAATGCTTTGAGCCAACGCTAGTTATCCTAAGAAAGTTATTTAATAGGATATATAAATCTCTGAGAATTAGAGCAAAATTCTAACTTAATCTTTCATTCAATCCAAGAACATTGGGAAGGTAAATCATATGTAGGGACCCAGGAAAGCATATGCTCAAAAAAGATATGAGATATTAACACTCCACTTGAGAGACTCTTCTCATGTTTATTATCCCACTAATTACTAAAGGATACTCATATCAGTCTACAAAAGCTGAAAGGACTAGTTCTTGTTTTTCATCTCACAAATGCCAAATTTCCACAAATGATCATTAGGAATTTTCAGCAATAAGGGAATATGGCAGAGTCAGAAGAATAAAATAAATCTCCACAAAAATGAAGAGTCTCTGAATGGGATGTAATCACATTTAAAATATAACCTTCAATATGCACAAGGAGTCAACATAAACAAAATTAAGGAAAATGAGAAAAATATGAAATCTGAGAACATTTGTATGCATTTTATTACCTCTAAGTAGTTGTACAAAGGAGTTGACATTTAACAAAGCAGTTTAGGAATACAATGTATCTTGATAAAAGAAATTATTTTTAAAAGAACCAAACAAAAATACTGGACCTAAAACCAATAGCTGAAATTGAAATTTTTTACTTGACAGAATTAACTACAGATTTCAGTAGTCTGACAAAAAGAATCAATCATCTGAATGTAAATCATTTAAAATTTTCAAATCTGATTACCACAATTAATTTAAAAAAAAATAAGAAGAAAATTCAAAACAACAGAGCCAAATGGCTTGGGAGAAGGGGGGATTATCTGTCAAATAAAGCCCAGGATTGGTATAATACTAGCTATTCAGGAGGCTGAGATCTGAGAATTGCAGTTGGAAGCCAGCTCAGTCAGAAAATTCCATGAGAATCTTATCTCCAATTAATTACAAAATAATTACAGAAAAAGCCAGAAGTGTCAGTTGAACTCAAATGGTAGAATGCTAGCCCTGAGCAAAAGGAGATTCAGGGCAGCACTCAGGCCCAAAGTTTAAGGCTCAAGCCCAGGGAAAAAAGAAAAAAGAAAAAAACACCACAACCAAAAACAAAGAAAGCAGTTAAATATATATACTATGGGGATTCACATACAAAAATTGAGAAACAGACAGGGATTAATTGTGGAAATAAGTATGCCTATAAACTCCCAAAATTTGAAGACTCAAGTATACATGAGTAAGAATCTCAAGAAACCCCAAGCAGGCTAATAAACCAAGTAAAGACACATTTTAAGCAAACTATCAAAATACTGAGAGTATATTTAAGGTAGAAAGAGAAAAATTCATTCATCATATATAAGGAATTTCATAATAATTAGTAGATATCTCAGAAGAAATTTGGGAGGCTATAATGACATATTTTCAAGGTAAAAAGGTAAAAAGACAAACTGTCCAGTTGGTAAAAAGGTTCGTAAATAAAAAGGGAAAAAATCAAAAGAGTCTGTCATAGGGCTTTAACTTTGGGCCTGGGCGCTGACCTTCAGCTCTTCAGCTCTAGGCATGTGCTCTCCCCCTTGAGCCACAGCACCACTTCTGGTTTTCTGGTGATTTATTGGAGATAAGAGTCTCAAAGACTTTCCTGCCTGGGATGGCTTTGAACCATGATCCTCAAATCTCAGCCTCCTGAGTAGGTAGGATTACAGGCGTGAGCCACCAGTGCTTGCTTTAGCCTTGCCCATTAAGAAATACTAAAGAAAATTTTCCAGTTGAATTTAAAAGATAATTAGTAGTAACTCAGACTCAAAAGGAAAAAATACAGTTCTAGGGTTGGGAATGTAGCTCAGTTATAAGCACAGACCTTAGATGCAAAAGACCCTGGATGTATCATCAACACCACACACAACAAAATAATAAGTATTATCATTATTATTATTACAGTAACAAGGTAATAAATTCTCTAGTCAAGGCAAACACATGAAAAAGCTTTGACTCATGGATCCATTTTTCCAACTGCACAGAGAAGATAAATATAAAACAGAGAGTACCAAAAATACATAAAGATGGGAAATATAGGGCTGCGAAGGTGGCTCAGTGGTAGAGCACTTGCCTTGCATGCATGAGGCCCTGGGTTCTATTCCTCAGCACCACATAAGCAAAAAGAAAAAAGCTGGAAGTGGCGCTGTGGCTCAAGTGGTAGAGTGCTAGCCTTGAGCTGAATAGCTGAGGGACAGCATCCAGGCCCAGAGTTCAGGCCCCACAACTGGACCTCCCCCCAAAAAGAAGATATAAAGATGCAAACTGTGGCATCTGTAACATAAAGGAAGTAGGAAGAACTCTAAAGCAGTATATCAATGTAAATACTTTATGATAGTATACATAATCCCATTGTAGTTACACAAAAATATCTGTAGTACACATAAAAGGCAACGAAATGTTGAATATGATCTGTACAAGTTGTTGTGGGCATGTATAAGAGGGAAAAAGTACAGGAGCAAAGGAAAGGATGACACTTCCCAAAAAGAAATGTATTCATTATCTTACTTATAAAATGGTAACCCCTCTGTACATTAATGTTATAAAAACAATAAAAATTAAGAAAAAAAGGCAACAAGAATAGATTTAATGTGCACTTCAAAAGCATCAATTAAATATATCAGTTAACAACAATGGAAAAAATGAGGTACACAAAAAATAGGACACAGAATACAAAAAAATAGATGAAGTAGGTCCTTACCTACATGTCTTTAATCATGGCATAAATAAATTAAGTACAGAAAGTGCAGGGCTGGGAGGTGGCTCAGTGGTAGAGCGCTTGCCTTGCATGCATGAGGCCCTGGGTTCAATTCCTCAGCACCACATAAGCAGAAAAATCTGGAAGTGTGGCTGAGGCTCAAGTGGTAGAGTGCTAGCCTTGAGCTGAAGAGCTGAGGGTCAGCACCCAAGCCCAGAGTTCAGGCTCCACAACCGGACCCCTCCTCCGCCAAAAAAAAGTGCAGAGTTACACAATGGATATAATCAATAGGATAACGTTTATGTTGTCCATAGGTAACTCATTTGAGATCTTTGGAAGCAGAAGTATAACATCTCATGCAAATAAAATGAGCTATGGTAGCAATATCAACCAAGGGGGAGAACATCAAGTAAAGATAGCTATTCCAAAAGAAAAGAAGAGCCCTATGTCATGAGAAAAAGAGCTAATTCACCAAAAAGATTAAAAACATATGTGCACCAAACCAGAGCTCTAACGTGCATGAAATAAATATATACAGAATTAAAGGAGGAAAGAATTGATTGAACTATAATAGCATGCCACTTCAAACCGAGCACTTTAAATAATGAATAAACTAGACAGAATGTCAATAAGTAGAGGTATCAATAACAGCATTAAACCAGTAGAACCTAGAGGATAGTTTTTGGAATCAATACCACAAAATTAATTCAAAATAGGTCATATTTAAATATAAGACCTAAAACTGCAGTTTTTACTAATAAAAAATTAGAATGCAGTGGGGGGGGGCAGGTGGGAGATGGGAAGGAGAAACAAAGAGGAGGCAACAATGCTTGATAAGAAATGTACTCATTATCTTGCCCATGTAATTGTAACCCCTCTGTATGGTATTTTCACACACACACACAAAAAAAATAGAATGCTGGGTGCTGGTGGCTCATGCCTGTAATCTTAGCTACTCAGGAGGCTGATATCTGAGGATCGCAATTCAAAGCCAGCTCAGGCAGGAAAGTCTGTGAGGCTCTTATCTCCAATAAACCATTCAGAAAACCAGAAGTGGTACAGAAAAAACATAGAAGCTTCCCACTGAAAGGATGTAGAGAATCTGCATCCCTATGTACCAGTGGTGGGAATACAAAGTGGTACAGTCACTGGGGCAAACCATGCTCTGCTTTCTCAAAAACATAAGCATAGAATCATCATGTGATCCTCTAATTCCACTGCCAATCATATAGAAAAACAAAAAAGGATGAAAGTAGAGATTGGAACAGATACTTGTACACAGAAGAGTGACTACAACTCAATTCTCCATGACTGAACAAATGAGCACTCTGACATATATGTATTTATGTGTGTATGTATATGTCGTTTTAAATGTTGTTTTATATATATAAACCTTTATCTATTATATATTAAGTATATGTATTATATATCATGTATATATGTTATATGGGTTGTGTGTATTATATGTTTGCATAATAATAAGCACATAATGTGTAATATGTAAATTTGCATTTTTGCACATACATTAGAAATTGTCGATATGTACATAATATATATTATGTCCTGCAGATATATACATAATACATATGTATATATAAACATATGTATAAACATTTAAAAGGAAGAAAATGTTAACACATGTTGCAACATGAGTGAATGTGGAAAAATTTTTACACTAATTATTATATACCACTCACAAAAGGACAAATATCACATGCAACTACTTATATGAGAAACCAGAGTAGCTGAAAATCAGGACTGCTTACAAGAGTTGAGAGAGGGAAATGGAGTGTTTGTGTTTAGAAAGCATAGAATTTCAGACAAGAATGAAGCAACTGTAGGATAGAGAAGGTTGTACAACTGTGTAAATGTTGTTACTGGATCAGAAATACATGAAAAAGATGGCTAACCTGGCAAAATTTATGCATACTTAATAATTATTTGAAATGGAGGAAAGTCCATCTAGAAACAGCAGTTACATCCTAACAAATGTAGAGTTCAGTTTTGCTTACAGTTTTTCTTCCATTTGAAGGATAATTGTGCTTTGGTTGTTTTTTTGTTTTGCTTCGTTTTTCCGAATACATGTGTTTTTAAAATAACATTCTTTTATCTTTTCTTTCTAGTGAAACAGAAGATTTTAACCCAGAGGCAAATGATAAAGAACTAACAGGTTTGATATTTTTCTTAAGTTCAAAAAATCACTGAAATTTTTTTTTATTATTTGATAACTTGGTTGTTTTCTACTTTTATAAGTTTTTATTTATCAACTTTGAAGTTAATTCTGTTCCTTTTTATTACTTTGAATAAACCATTAGAATATAATCAATATTCCATAATTCAAGTGTTCCATTGAGCTGGATACTTTGCCTTGTCTAGTTTAGTGTGGGGCACTTACATTTACCACGTGATAAATTTTAAAAAGTGAATCATAATGAAAATTTATATTGGTGTCAGATTCCATGAGAATTGATTTAATTATACCTCAGACAGATTAGGCTTGCTTTGTTTCACAGCCCAGTCCTACAATGTACAAACCGCTTTTTAAATGTACAAAGGGTTTTTAAGCTAAATTTATTTGTTCACATTCATATTTGTGAGGCTAGACCCTATTTTGTTTTGGTTTTAAGGATCTATTTGTATGGACTGCTTATATGTGTTAGAACTGCATATTCAGACACCTAAGAGGATAAATGTGATTTTAACAATGACAGCATGCACAAAAGGCAGTGTTCACTATAATGCAGCTCCAACCCCAAGTTTGTCATGAGTATTTCCAAGATGTACTCAAGAAATGTATTCTCTCAACTTGAAAGTGGAAATCATTTCCATGAAGAAAATTCATGGAATACTAGTGAATCTAACATAATTCTAGGACCATACTACAAGGACCTCTGGCGAGATTTCTGAATTATGGCCATAAACCCTGAGACATTTTGCTTACTAGAATTGTTTCATTGGATGAATAAGGGAACTCTAGATGTACACGGGGGGTTTTGATGCATCCAACATCACTGTCACTTCATTAGAGAGGTCATGCTGTTCACTCTCTGAAATTGAAGCTTGTTTTTTATCATGGCCCTATGTAACATACATGCCCACAAGTTGTACCGACAACATTTCGTTGCCTTTTTTTGTGTTTGGCTGTTAGTTCCTGACCATTATCTGGCCAACTATAAATCCTGAATATCTGAGCCTCTTAAATACTAGGAATTTTTCTATCTCTTCATCAGAACAATTCCTCAGCTTGATCTTTTTCCAAGTTGCTCCTATTGCCTGTACACTAATAACAATAATAACTTTGTGTAATTCCTTGATATAAAAAATAAATAAATAAAGTCATGTGAGTCCTCTGTTTTAAAAATATAATACAATTAGGTTTGCCTCAACAAATATACATAACTCATAATTTTTTTTTCTTTCTTGTTTTCTTCTCCTATAGAAACTTCTCAGGAGCAAAAGCCAGAGAATGCAAACAGTGTTCAGGTAAGTGTTTTTCAATAGCCACTAGTTTGTTTACAATGGAGTCCACTTATACACAGCCTCGTTTTCAAAGTCCTATCAGAGACTGTGGTGGGACATGGGGAAAATAAAGCATTTCTTTCTTCACAGTCCTTCTCATTGGCTCTCCCCAACTGGCTGAGAACCTGCCCGTAGTGTCTGAAAATCTTGTAATGAAAGTATTCATTAGCTGTTAACTATCTCATGGGAGGGACTTGGCCAGGTAGATAGCCCATACAGGATTTGGTAGAGGTAGGAAGGGAACAGTAAGGAGGGAGTGGCCAGATCTTTCTGCCTAAAGACTTTACTGTAAGCTTTTAAAATTCCCCTGTGAACTCTCCTGTGAACTTAAGAGTTTTTTCCTTTCTAACAAGGATTAATCCTCAAATGAGGACAGAAGCTATGGACTTTCTCTTTTCTTTACATTTTTACATTGTTTTGTTCTTAGTTGAATTAATTTTTAGAAAAGTCCACCCAACCTTGCATGTACACAATTCATCAATTATCCAGGCATTTCTAAGTATCACAATACAACTATAATTTCAGAACCTGTTCCTTTTTTTTGGGGGGGGGTTCCGGTCATGGGGCCTGAACTCTGGGCCTGGGCGCTGTCCCTCAGCTCTGAATTTTGAGCCATAGCGCCACTTCCAGCTTTTTTTCTTTTTGCTTATGTGGTGCTGAGGAATCGAAACCAGGGCCTCAGGTATGCAAGGCAAGTGTTCTACCACTGAGCCACCTTCCCAGCCCAGTCAGAACCTGTTCTTAATATCCTGTGACACACACTTAAGATATTTTGTTATCTTAAAATATTTTGCCAAGTTTCCAGAGAAATGGTTTTCGTTCTACACATAACCTCATTCTTACTTGTTAATGCAAACATCTATTGAAAGATATCTCACATTCCACTTGAACAATATTTTCCCAAAATAAAATCATATGGAAGTAAAGGGATGCAGTGAGGCTCTGGTTGGTAATCTATCTGCTCTTATCACTTCATCGACAATCAGAACTTTCCCACCATTTGTACTTTTCCCATTTGCTACTTATAGTAAAAAACTATGGTAATTTGGTACCCTGGATATTGTATATATGTGTATCTTATTAGGGAAGGAAAGGGGAACAAGAAAATGGTGAGACAAAGGACAAGGTGGGAAACCAATGGAACAGGAGAATATGTTGGAAATGAACTTTTCAATTTAGGGGGAGGTATTAAAGGGGGGAGGAAAAGAGAGAGGAAAATGAGGGAGGAGGTAACAAGTTTGACAAGAATGTACTTATTACCTTACTTATATAACTGTAACTTCTCTATACTTCACCTTGATAATAAAAAAAGAAAAAAAAAACAATGTTATCCAGCCCAATTCCAAGTAAGCTGGAGAAGGCTGACTTTTCCCTGTCTCACTTGTTACAATGACTGGATCTAAAACATAACAGCAGCAGGAGTTTGTGGCAGGAAGCAAATCTCAAAAAAGTAACGGGTAACTTTGTGAGTTTCCTCACATATTTCCTGATTGGGAATTCCATAGAAAGAATGAGAGAATAAAGTTCTAAAAACAAAAATCAAAACAAACACACAACAACAAAAACCCCACTACTGCTTTCTGACCTGAGTTAAAAAATGAGAATCTGATAGATGGACTCTATGAGGAATCCCTGCGTTATTCCCCATTCCCTCACCCTATTCTATTGCCTTGCCTTGAGGAAAGTTTTAGTCACAAAGCTGAAATGTAGAGGCACAGAAGAGATTGCCCAGGTACCACCAAAAATTCTGAGAGATAAGTCTTTCCTCTTACCAGAGGAATTAAGAAGACTCTCAATAGACAAAAAGGTTGAAGGATTTGAGTTCTAACTAATGACTCATATACTGCCTTTCTGAAATAACTGTTCCCCTGCATTCTCACAAATGACGCAAGTCTTAAACCAGTATATGAGCCTTGTTACCACCACGAAAACAAAGCACTTTTTTACACCAGGGCCCACCGAAGGGCTATATTATGAAGTTAAATTAAGAAAGAAATTAATATGCTTCTTTCTTCTTTTTAAGTACTGTGAGAAAAAGAGTTCGTAGGTTACTCTAGGTAATCCAAAGAAGGAAGCAGCAAACAGACCTGGCATTGTTGCATGGGTTAAGATTGGCTAAATCCCGGCAATCAGGTATCAATGCTATTATCAGCATCCACAACAAGGGCAAACCGTAGGAATAACAAAACTTATAAGCCTGGATGTCTGAAAGATGGTGTAATGGCTTTACTATTAGATGTGTTTAAACTTTAGTGATGGAAAAAAACAGTCAGCATGTCCTTTTCCTTGGCAGTTTACCACCCTCTTCAAAGGAGCTAATGTTGATAGTGACACGGAGCAACTCTCAAAGGAAATTAACTCAGGTACAAAATATGCCAACTTATAGTCAGTATAAGAAAGTTCTCAATAACATCATTGTGAATTTAGAATTACCTTGTCAGAATGAGGAGCCTTTCCTGTGTACATTATCAAAGGGCAACTGAAATAATATTCAAGTTGCTAGTCATCAGTATGACCAGCTAGCCGTCATACTGATGACTAACAATTTTTAGTTATTTGTAACTTTACACCAAAATGGCAAGAGATGCAGTAACTGAAATCATTAGGAAAAAATACGAATAATAGAAGAAAATTACCCTAGGTTATTCAAAGTCATCACACAAGCTAGTAAGCTACAAATCTATGATTCAAACCCAGATCTCTGCCTGACTATAAGGCCTAAACTCCCTCAACAGCTTCAGAGTTTACCCTTTCCAATGACCTCTTGAGCACTCTAGGTAATATAAACAAGAACAAGAGGTCTGGAAGGGGGCTGTGTATATGTCTCTGGAGCCAGTGTACTCCACCTGAATGGGGCATTTCCATCCCTGACATGCTAGATTCTCCCAAGTCTTCTATTTCACTTCTTTCCGTATATCAAGGAAAGCAGAAACTGAAAGCTTTATATGAAATCTCCTGACTTTCAAATATCACAAATGGCAATTCAAAGAGTATGGAGCTTTGTTATTATATGCTTTTAACTCCTATCACAACCTAAGATAAACCAAGATAGCATGTTCTCTTAAACACCCTGTGCACTGAATAATTGATAAAGAAAAATCACACATGGGGATTTTAAAAAATCATCTGTACAGATCCATCTTTACAACAACAACAAATACTCGGGACCTATCCACAAAAAAAAATTGACCCAACAGAGGCCTTTACTTGCATTCTGAGGAAGAAAGTTTCAGTGTATATAAATTCAGTTTACTCTGCCCTTTAGATTATGGACTTAAAGAGATATACTTTGCTCACTTGAGTGAGCATAAACTGGACACAATAATATCTGAGAGCCAAGCCAAGCTCTGGGGCCAGTTTGGACAGTTTTTTATGTATATAATAAGCAAGAGTTTGAACCTTGTCAGAATTCACTCTCTGAATTATGACAGCATTCTTCCTATTCCCCCATAAGAGTTTTATGAAGTCTAGTGAACACACTATACATGTTCTTTAAATTCCACAAAATATTTTGTGAATGTCAACTTCTGGATTCTAAGTCATGATTAAACTACTAACCATTATTCATAATATTTGTTATTTTCACAGATAATTCCAAATCCGTTATATCCGTACAAGGATCTAAAATGCTTGCAAGAGTATCTTCAACTCTGTCAAAGGTGTTTTCTCGATCTAACCCAAATAGTTCCTAAATCTTCCTCAAAACCTCACCAAGATGAAAACTAAAGCTTCTATATCTAATAAGAGTGGACTTTACTTAGAAAATAAAATAATTTTTAAGTATAACACAGTGTCCTATCATTCTTATTACTTTGACAATAATAACAAAAGAAAATGTGATACTTGAGAAAAATAAAGTTTTAATAAATGCTTATTTTTCTATGAGTATTTTAACTGGTACATTAAAGTACTGAAATTGCACATTTTAATGGAGTATCATATATCTCAGTTATGCATGTGATACATATGTTTAAAGTAAAGGTATCCACCTCCTAAAACACCATTTCATCATGATACACTTTTAAAATCTTTATTATGGCTTTTGGAAAAGAATAGCACATTATTGCTGTCTGTCATCTTAATGTACATCTTATGATCCAAAAATTGACAACTGGGCATAATCATTGTTTTGGATAAGGATTTTTTAGGATAAGAGATTAATAAGCTATTGATATAGATTGATATATCAATATAATCTACTGATACAGATCCTTTCAGTAAAAACATTTGAGAAATACTTGGTAGGAAATCTATTGTAGAAGTACCTTCAAGAGAGAACTTTACAATAGTGTACATTTTTTGACAGTAGAAGGAAAGTGTCTTTCCTTCTGTGGTGCAAACTACTAATGTTTACCAGACTGAGACAACAGACTCTCATAAAGCCAATGTTCAGCATAACAAAAGATGTCACTATCAAAATTTAAAAGCATTAGGGTTTACATACATCTGGATGTAATGATTTATTATGTAAGAACAAGGTACTCTTTAAAGATATTTTTATGGCAAAAGAGTGATGTTTTCTTCAATTCAGAATTAAGTTCACAATCAGCCATTCACATACTTTTGAAGAGAAATGGCTGGAATTATTAAGAACTTTAAGTCCTAGGTAAAACTTTATCTAAGAGGATTTACATTGGAGGAATTGGGTTATGTCCTGTATGCAGTTATTTCTAATTTTTTCTGCTTTGCTTTCCTGTACCCTTTGTCTTACGTATGTTTATCTGATCTGTGGAAGGGAAAGGGAATTACAGAAACAGCAAAACAAAAGATGATCTAATGCAACACTTGATACTGTGTTGGAAATGAACTATATAAGTTGTGGGGGAGGGCAGTAGAGAGGGTTAAGTAAGAGAAAATGAGGGAGGGCTAAAAAAATGTACTGATTACCTTACGCATTTAACTGTAACCACTCTGTTCATCATCTTTATAATAAAGATAAGAAAAAAGGGAAGGGATGAATAGGGTAGAAATGAGTGAGAATGTTGAAAGGAGTGACTGATTGGGACATACTCTGTTAATAAGCTGCTCTATTGAGCAATAGCAATTCTTTTGTACAACTGTTTAAAGATAATACAATAAACATAAATATTTTTCTTCATAGAGATGTTAAAAGAAAACATCAGATTGAATTTAAAAAATGGGTGTTACAAGATTTTTTTTTGTCAAAGCTAAAATTTCCAGAACCAATATTAATCTCCTAAATATTTGTCCATTGCTGTGAAACACAAAAGTCTTAGCTTGCTGCTTTTCATATATGTATATGTATCAGTGCTTGTGCTTGAACCTGGGGCCTGCAGTTGAAGCCCTCACTAAGCTTTTTTGCACAAAGCTGATGCTCTGCCATGTGTGCCATACCTCCATTTCCAGACTCTTATCAAGGGTTTGTTGCCTGGACCAACTTTGAACCAAGAGCCTCAAACCTTAGCTTCCTGAATAGTTATGATTATAGATGTGAGCCTCTACCATCCAGCTTTAATGATTTTTTAAATTTTTGAACTGTAAAAGGAGTTGAAAGTCTTCTTATGAGCAGGACTAGGTAATAGGCATCTTAGGTTTTTTTAGGGAGAATGTTTCTATCAAAACTGCTACACATACTATGGAACGTAAGAGCTGTCACAGCACATGCACACAAATGTGAATGGGATCTGAGGAAAATTTATACACAGTACCAAAATTGGAATTTTATGTAGTATTCACATATAATAGCATATTCTTGTTTTGAGCCTTTTCAACAATTAAAAAATAGGGAAGTCATATTGGTCAGGAACAGGTTACAAGCAAGATTTTGCTTATGGGCAGAAATCTCTGCAATTGTGATACCTTATCTCTCCTATCATATCCTTATTTGATGCGTTTGTAGAAAATCAGTTGCCTATATATGTTTGGTTCAGATTTCTAATATTAAGCCAGTGCAATATATTTTTAACTATTACTGCTTTTGAAATATAATTTTAAGTCAGACAGTTATATTTTTCACGTGTTCATTGAAGCATTATTCACCAGAGCCATGGCAAGAATGATTTACTAAAGAAAATGTGGTCTATGTAGTTAATGGAATAAGATGGACTGTCCAAGGAGGTCATATTGCGATTTGTCCAATACATATAGGATGAGCAATGAAATATATGGCATTTTCTATCATATGTGTTCATCTAAATTTTCAAATAAAAAATATAAAAAAGTGGTTAACATGGGTAGGGCTGTGAGATCTGAAGATATACATAATGAACAAATAGATCTGATATGCAATATAGGACAATGGTTTATAAAACTCTAGTGTATAGGGGTTCTCTATAAATTGGTAGGTTTTATTTGGTCTTATCATATAGAAAATAAACTATGAATGATGCTAGGCATATTAATTTACTTCACTATAGAAACTATTTTACTACTATATACATTCAGTAACATCATGTTTTAATCCTAAAGTAGAGTACATTTAATGTTAAGAAAAAACTTACAAAAGGGCCTTGGTTTTCTGAAAAGTAGTAATGTTAGATAAATAATGCTTTAATTTTGACCTCATTTTACAATAATATTATTTACACACAAAATAAAAGGATTATAATAAAGTTTTTATTAATATTTAGACCTAATATGTTTCTTTAGGTTCCTTTTAACTCGACTGTTCTTTCTTACTAGAAAACAGTGTTTAATTTCTATCATCCTGGAAAAGGATGGTCTTTCTTAAGCTTCATATAAATTAAATTATTACTGGGCTGGGAAGGTGGCTGCATGGTAGAGTGCTTGCCTTGCATGCATGAGGCCCTGGGTTCGATTCCTCAGTACCACATAAGCATAAAAAGCTGGAAGTGGCACTGTGGCTTAAGTGGTAGAGCACTATCCTTGAGCTGAAGAACTGAGGGACACAGCACCCAGGCACAGTGTTCAGGCCCCACAATCAAGGAAAAAAAATTATTACTACAATTTCACATTTGGCCTTTTTTGCTTAATATCTTGATTTTGAGATTCATCTACTTTATTGGATACATAATTTATTCCTGACAAGCACTACTCACTAAATAAACAGCCCATACATTATTTCATCAATTTCTTAAAAGAACTCTGAACATTCTTGTTTAAATATTTTTCTAGACATATGTTTTAATTCATATGGACAACCAAGAATGAAATTTCTGGGTTACATGTTGATTATAATTGCAAAATAGTTTTCTAAATTGGTTATACAGAGTACTCAAATCATACATAAATGTATGTTATTCTTAAATTCTTCTCTGGAGAAGTAAAATAGTTCTGTATATCATGCTGAAGGAGAAATGATGATATATACAATCCAGATAGTTTTAATAACAAATTTAGGAAGTACAAAATTCTTCATGTCAGTTTTACACAACCTGAAAAATTGTATCCCCCAGTATTGAAGGGTTGTATTGGTGAGAATACTTCCCACGGCCACCAGAGCTTCCTTAGAGAACACTGCCACTTATAACAAGGAAAAATTTCAGTGAGAGAAGCTAGAGAATGGTGATGACTTTTCATGTGTGTACCTAACTGCAAGTGTATAACTAAGGTCTCAAAAGCTACAACTAAATTACCCACCGGACTTCCTGCTTATGATGCTACTAGCTGTGCTAGGGGAAACTACATCAAATATCAAATATTTACTATGTTTCAATGTCTGCACTCAGTGGGATGGTAAAATATAACTTACAGCCTTTAGCCCAATATGAGAGGCCAAGAACAGCCCTGCTAATCTCTGTGCAAGAAGCAATGTAACTAATGGACTCAATAATTAAAGACAGATGAAAAGCATACTTCAATACACCAAAACATATACTTTATAAAAATAAAACCCTTAGAAAATAAAAGCACAAATGTTACATTTTTCAGTACTGCATTTAACACAACCAATAGCTGTGAAATAAGATCAAGGAATATTCCACACCAAGAACTTTGTGTTAAACATTGAAACATAGTCTAGTCCAAACTCCCTCTTGTTTTAGCATAAAATGTGGATACAATTTACTATCAACTGCTCTAGGACTTATCCTACCAATCAACACAAAGAAAAGTGAAAAGCACATTTATTTCTTCATGTTGTGTAATATTACTATGGCTTTTTTAAAGATTTTTCCATTTCCTGCTGATTTAGGAATTGGATTGTAAATTGTCTTTTCTCTTTTTAGTTATATTTTTTTTTTGCTTGGGATTTGTTAATCACATTATATAAGTTAATCACTTTCCACAACTTTGTGAACCATTCACTTATTAACTTGTAACTACTTTCTTCTACTTTACAAGCTCCAGTTATATCACTATTAAACATCTCATATATTCTCAGGACCCTGACATATAATATAATGGTTGTTTTTTAAATTCTCTTCTGTGCTTTATCAGAAATAGTATCCAATACTATCTTAGCAAGTTAACTGAAGACAGAGTCTCATGGAATGCTCTACTCTGGTTGTCCTCGAAGAGGAAACTAGAATTGAAGCACAAGTAAGCAGCTAGATAGCTAGGATTAGAGCATGAGTCACAATACTCACCTCATATAATTTTTTTCTGAAGGTGGACATGGTAGACACTCCTCTGTTGTTAGAGGTAGCTGACATGAATTCAAAGCCAACTTTGACTACCTAGGATGTTCAATGTCAACTTAGGTTATATAGTGAAACACTGTCTCAATTGACCCCACCCCCTAAAAAAGTCTCCAGAAATTTTGTGAGATTAACCATTATACTATCTATCTCTTTTATTAAAATATGTAATTTCTTAGGCAAAGATTTGTTCTATTTGCTTAAGGATTTTAAATACATAGAGTAACCCTCCCAAGTATATCCTATTAAGAATGGATCATGTTTAAGACATGTGTATGATTATTTTAGGCTTTACATCTTTCAAACTGTCAGTTTTCCCTATTATTCTTGAACAAACATATTGCTGTCATAACAATTGCAAAATGGCATTTGAGTTTATACTTGGCAATAATAGAGTTTTCAGAATGGGACAAAAAGTGTAACAATTTTGAAACCAAAGAGATCATTTTATTTATTATCCTTATTTTATTCATCATGAAAATTATTTGATTCATTTTTCTAAAACAGAAGTCTTTTGCTCATGAATTAAATTTATATTTGTGGTCCTGAATATATATATATATATATATATATGTATATACATATATACATATATTTTCAAGGCTTTAAAATATATTCATAGGAAAGAGAGGAAGCTGGCAGAGGAGAGGCTGGAGGCTAAGCAAGCTCTCCTGTAGAAACCAGTATTAGTATTCCAGTGGAAAATCTAAAGCTAGAGAGTCACAATGAGCGTGACCAAACAGAGAGTTTGGCCAGAGAGGAAAAACTCAGACAGCTTAGTTAAGGACACAGATTCAAGCACCCCCTGTTCATGGCAGTGGAAGTGGCCTCGGCTGCTGCATCTGGCAACCATATCAGCAGAGAGAGTCCTGACAAAGGCACCGAGGTGGTACGTCAGCAGATTCTACTTACCACCAGCAAGAACTGACAAGGAGTGGAACTCTTCTTCGGGCTGACCACAGACTGTGGATGTGGATGGCCCAGAAACCAAAAGAAAGCTGTGAATATGCTCAAGACACCCTCACTCATCTGACAGAACAGCAGTGGGAAGGTAGCCCCTCCCCCACCACCAAAGAAAAACTCCATCTTTGATACTGACACAGACCCATCTAGAGGAGCTAGCATAACTCAGGCCTGGGAAGAAGACAATAGGAGCCATTCAACAGGTCAACAGGATCTGACCTTCAGCAGGGCTCAGATCCACCCCTGGGGAGAGTTGCTCCTCCCAAGCAGAGGCAGCTCAGGGTAAACAGAGCCAGAAGATTCCCTACCCAACTGCTGCACAGGAAGCAACTCCAGCCCTAGAGCAATTGGAAACTTTTTATACATAAATCCTGAGATTTGCCCCAGGCTCATTGATTGAGTCTCTCAGGAGCTAGCCTATCAGTGTAAACCTACTGATTGCTGACAGGCCACAGCCCTACCTACAACCTAGCCCTCCTCACAGCAACTCCAAGCTAGAGGAAACAGCCACCTTGCTCTTGTGTGATACTCAAAGCACAGCATCCTCCCACTGAACTAGCCTGGGAGGAAGGTAAGACAGAGCTTCCTTAAGCCTGCTCAAACAAACATTTAAGAAACCAACCAAGTCACAGGACAACCAAACACAAGCAAACTAGAGACTCCACCACCAAGAGACTGGTTATGGACACAGGGGAGACACAAGATATACCCCTGTTCTCACCCCCCCAAAAATGCAAAGAACTTTTTTCTACCCAATATTTTTAACTGTTATTTTTTATTTTTACTTTGTTTTTTGTTTTTGTATTTTTGTTGTTGTTCTTTTTTTGTTTGTTTTCTCTTTAGACTCTTACCTTTTGGTCCTTTTAGCTTTTTTTTTTTTTTTTTGGTTTGTTGGGGTTAAACTCTGGGCTTGGGCACTGGCCCTACGCTCTTCAGCTCAAGGTGAGTGCTCTGCAGCTTGAGCCACAGTGCCACTTCCAGTTTTCTAGTGGTTTATTGGAGATGAGTCTCATGGACTTTACTGGCTGGGCTGGCTTTGAATGTGATCCTCAGATCTCAACCTCCTGAGTAGCTAGGATTACAGCATGAGCCACCCACACCCGGCCTTTTGTTTTTTGTTTTTTGTTTCTGGGATTTTTTTTTTTTGCCTTACTAATTGCTTGTCTGTTGATCCCCAAATATATACCTGTCTTCAAGTATTAGACTTTATCCTTCATTGTGTGCATACTTAACTTAGATATTGATTATTCAATTCACAAACTCCCAGCCTTAACTCCATTAATTGTAGAATTATTTCTTTATACTTATATAATTTTTAAGTATTTCAATTTTTTTTATTTTTCCTTTTTCTTTTTCTTTCTTTTCCTTTCCTGCTATCCTGACCTTTCTTTGAATCACTCTTTCACTTTCCCTCCCTATGTTTCTCCAATCTTATTTTCTCCTCACAATTCTCCCTAAACCTACTAATTTCTGGTCCACTGACCCCTTCTTTCTTTTTTCTTACTCCATTGATCCCTAGCTGTTGTTGTTCAAGATTGTATCTGTTGAACTACATTGTATCTATACCCATTTTGTCTGGATCAAACAATCTGTGCAACTACAGGGCTCTTGTTGATGCTGGCCTTAAAATAGTGTTCTAGCTCAGCATCAGTTTGGCTATCAAACCGAAGTGGGCAGAACAAGCAGAAACACAATGAAAATGGCAAGTCCAGTATATCAACTTCCACCCATGACAATCAGGCAACAGAGAAGTCAATGAATAACCCAGAGAACAGTTCTCAAAATGCTCTACAAACACTTCTGATAAACATGCTGAATAAAATGTTTGAAAGCCTGCAAAGGTCTCACTGTGAGTGGGATAGGGAAATGCGTGAGTGTGATGAGGCTAACCAAAGATTAATACAGGAATATTGAGAGTGTGATGAGGCTAACCAAATTAATACAGGAATATCACAAATGTGATGAGGCTAAGCTAAGATTAATAGAAGAATTGTGTGAGTGAGATGAGAATAGACAAGGGCTAATGAAGGCATTCCTGGAATCCACAAACAGACAGTTGGAAGAATCCAGGGAGGCCGCAAAGGGAATGCTGAATGAAGCCCAACTGAAAGAGAGTCCAAGAAAACCATAACCAATCAACTAAGGGATTGGAGAATGCACACTGAAGACCAAATTAAGAAAGTAAAGAAGTTCATATAAGATATAAAACAAATCTCCAAAAAAGAATTTGAAGACATAAAATCTGACCAATTAAGAGGAAAAGAAATAAAAAACAAAGTAGAAAGTCTTGACTTTCTGCTAGGTTAGATCATGCAGAAGATCAAATCTCTTGGGACTTAAGACAGCCTAGATATTACAGAGAAAAAACAACCATTCAAGACAAATCCAAGAAATATGATAGATCCATTCAACATCTAGAAGACACCATCAGAAGGCCTAATTTGAGGATAATGGGTGTAGAGGAGCAACTAGAGACAGAAGTTAATGGTCTAGGAAATTTATTTAACAGGATCCTAGCACAGAACTTCCCAAACATGTAAAAAGATAGGTGTATTCAAATACAAGAAGACTTTAGAACCCCAAATAGACCAGAACAGAACAGGACATCCCACTGTAATCTGCACAAGATCAATTCAGACCAAGGAAAGGATGCTTAAAGCTGTCAAGGAAAAAAGATCAATCACCTATAAAGGGATTAGATTAACTTTAGATTTCTCAACAGAGACAAAGCAAGAAGAGCCTGGAATGATGTATGCCATACCCTAAAGACAAACAACTATCAACCAAGAATACTGTACCCAGCAAAACTCTCCATAATGAAAGTTAAAAACTTCCACAGCAAAGAAAAATTGAAACAATATATATCCACCAAACCAGCCCTAGAAAAGATACTTACACATGTCCTACACATAGAAAACAAACAAGAGCACAATAAAAGCCAAGAAACAGCCCCCAAACAGAGAATCCAAGAAGCATAAGAAGAACCCAGTTGGCACAACCCCCAAGAAGGTGGATAACATGTCAGGAACTAACCAAGACAGGTCAGTCCTAACTCTCAATATTAATGAACTTAACTCTCCAATTAAGTGACAAACTGTCTAGTTGAATCAAAAACCAAGATCCTTCTATCTTCTGCTTTCAAGAGACATACCTTGCCCACATACACAAACATTCTAAGTGAAAGGCTAGAATAAAATCTACCAAGCAAACAGCCCCCATAAACAGTCAGGAATTGCAATCTTAATATCAGGTAAAATAGACTTCAAATTAAAATTAGCAGCCAGGCACTGGTGGCTCAAGCCTCTAATCCTAGCTACTCAGGAGGCTGAAATCTGAGGAGTTTGGTTCAAAGCCAGCCCAAGAAGGAATGTCAATGAGACTCTTAATCTCCAATAAATCACTCAGAAAACCAGAAGTGTTAGAGTGGCTCAAGCAGTAGAGTTCTAGCCTTGAGCTGAGGAGCTGAGGGACAGAATTCAGGCTCAGCATTCAAGCCTCATAGCCAAAAAATAAATAAATAAATAAACATTAAAATTAGTGAGAAGAGATAAAGAATTTCATTATATACTAATTAAGGGATCTCTCCTTCAGGAGGATATTACAATTCTAAATATCTATTTACCAAATAATGAAACACCCAAATTTATCCAAGAATTACTACTTTCCCTCAGATCACACATAGATCCAAAGACATTAATTGTTGGGAACTTTAACATAGCACTATCCTTGCTGGATAGGTCAACCCGGCAAAAATCAACGGAGAAACCTCAGACATAAACAAGTGCATAGATCAACTAGACTTAACTGACATATACTGAATATTACAGAGAAGCATCAAAATACACGTTCTGCTCAGCAGCTCATGGAACATTCTCTAAAGTAGACTACATTTTATGTCAAAAAGCAAATTTGTCCAATGCAGAAACATTTAAATTATGCCCTGCATTCTCTCAGAACACAAGGGAATACAATTAGAATTCGACACCAAAAGCCACCAAAGAGAATCCTATAACATATAGAGGCTAAACAACACACTGGTGAACCACAAGTGTTCATGGAAGAGATTAGAAAAGAAATTCAAATGTTCATGATATTTAACAAAAATGAGCACACAAATCACCAGCTCCTCTGGGACACAGCAAAGGCAGTACTCAGAGGCAAGTTTATAGCTCTGCGTTCCTACAACAACACATTGGAAAGAACTGAAAACAAAAAGTTAATAAGAAATCTGAAGCTCCATTGAAAAGAGCTACAAGCTAAACTCCAGTCCAGTAGATGGAAAGAAATAATTAAAATTAAATCAGAATTAAATGAATTAGAGTCCAAAAAAACATTGAAACAATCAACAAAACAAAGAATTGGTTCTTCAAAAAAAAAATTGGCACACCCTTAGCAAATCTTATTCGAAAAAGAAGAGAACACACTAATATAAACCAAACTCAGAGATGAGAATGGTAACATCACCACAGAAAAAACCAGGATTCAGAACATTATAAGGGAATACTTCTCAAACCTTCATGCTAATAAGCTTGAGAATCTAGAAGAAATGGACGAATTTGTAGCCAATATTGACATGCCCAAACTAAATAAAGATGAGTTAAACCAACTTAACAGACCTATATCAAGGAAATAGAAACAGCAATAAGAGACCTCCCACACAAGAAAAGCCCAGAACCAGATGGATTTACAGAAGAATTCTACAAGGCTTTTAAAGAAGAACTCACACCAATACTCATCCAATTCTTCAATGAAATTGAAAGTGACAGTTCACTACCACACTCTTTCTATTAAGCCATCATAACACTTATCTCAAAACCAGGCAGGGACTCATCAAAGAAAGAGAACTATAAACCCATTTATTGGATGAACCTCAATGCAAAATTCTCAACAAAATATTGGCCAATTGACTTCAACAATTCATCAAAAAATATCATACACCATTATCATACAGGATTCATTTCAGGG